GGAGGACTGGTAGATGACATCAAAAGGGTACCATTTTCTTTTGGAGATGACAAAATGCCTTAAATTTGATTGCAGTGATGGTTGCACAAATCTGGCAATATACTAAAAACCACCAGATTGTATACTTTAAAAGGATGAATTATTTGACATGTGAATATCTCAATAAAGCTACAACCAAAACAACTTCTAGATATGACTGCCTACAAATCCGAAACATCTATACTATGTTTCAAGGATTTTTATTTCAAGTTTTATAACAATAAAAAATTAAAACAATCTAAACATTGAAGTACTGGAGATTATTTAAATAAAGACTGTTTCATTGACAAAATAGAATTCTCTGCACGTACTAAATACAATGGCATAGAAGAAAATTTATTGACATGGACACATGTACACACTACATTGTTAAATGGGAAAAAAGCCAGTTAGAAAAGTCTGTCACCTGGAACCCCAATTTGCAAATAAGATATATGTATATATAAACAAATGCCTAACAGGATACACCCCAACATGGTTACAATGGTTATCTCTGGGTGTTGGACTTAAGGGTGAACTTAATTTCCTTCTCCTCGTTCAACTATATGAAATGTTTTCTCATAATGCACATGAATTACTTTTATAACAACACCAAAAAAGTCAACTAAATTTAAAAAAATATTTAAAACACCTGCCATGCGCCCATGGGTGGAGGCCCCAAGGAAGGGGATTGCAGAGCAAGAACATGTTCACGCTTCATCCAGAGATGACAAGCTACCTGAGCACCTCCCCCATGCCAGCATTATAATGGACACAGCACAGACCATCCACTTTTATCCTCATGAGAATCCAGGAATACGGGTGTCTTTGCCTCATTTGATAGATGTTAGGTAACCTGCCACAATCCCACAAGTAGTGAGAGGCAGTGCTAGGCCAGGGCCTGCAGGACCCTTGTCTCCACCTTAGCTGCCTCTGCTTGTTCCTGGGGAAGGGCAAAAAAAGATCCTGAGCTGCTAGGCTCTGTGTCCTACAGGCCAGTTCTACGCTGGCCCTTGTTCTCCCTTCCTGCACTCAGGCCAGGGGGTGACAGAAGAACAAGTCAGCAAGGGTGAGGACACCAGCAAAGGGAAGGCGTGACCCTGAAAGGCCAGCTGGCCAAGGCCAGGCCTCTGGGCAGACTAGCTGGGGACACCTCGCCTGCCGGGCGACTCTCAGGAAGCACAAGCACTTCCGGACCCAGGAGTTCCCAGGCCCTGCTCGAGCCCAGGGGCATTGGGAGAAAACTTCACAGGCCAGCTGAACAGCAGGAGGAAAACAGCCTGCCACCTGGAACTTTCTCACTGGGCCTGCCCTTCCCTACTCTGGGTCTCCAGGGTTTCTTAAGTCAGAGGAGGGGGTGTGAGGGCTCCACAACCCTCCCAGATCTAACTTCTCTGAAGCTGTGGCACTTTCTTACTGGGGCCTGACAGGAAGAGGAAGGGGGTGAGACACCCCACCCAGCTCCTGAAGAAGCCCCCTCTCTTCCCCTCCCCTCTGTTCCCACTGCTGTTTTTAGAACAGGCCACAGGGAGCCTCTCCACCAGCCCTGCCTTGCACTGAGCTCCAGGTAAAACACAGCAGCCCATTCATTCCGCTCCAGCAAGAGCACATCAGGAATTTACAGGCGAGCCAACTGAAGACACGCTCTCCCCACACCATCAGCGGAGCCATTTCTCACTATTTCCATTACAGCCCGAAGTGGTGACTTGCTTTTCCTAATGACGACCCAGAGTGAGAAGACAAGAACGTCTCGAAGACCATCTGCTTCCTGCCCCCAACCTCAAAGATTTCAAGAGTCACTGAACAGGCGGGGGCTGGAAGGTAGAGGGGTGGGTCCTAGTTCCAGCACTCAGTTTGCCAGTTCTTCCTCTCTCTAGTCTTGCTGCCCACATGCCCGTTTGTTAATCCAATCATTGATCTTGGTGGGGGAGGAAAGTTTTCAGCTCCACATTCTAAGATTCTATGGTTGCATCAAAATCTGTCACTCATAAAATAAACACTGTATGCCCTGATTTTAGGCCTGTGTCGCCTTGTGTTCTCAAAGTCCACCCGAGCTCGATTGTAGGAGTGGATTTCCCATTGAACACTACGTTATAAATGGTGATCAGTTTCTGAGCCTAGTACTTCACCCTAAATGCTCTTCCATAAGAAGTAGCAGCACAGGTCTACCCTGGTGGCACAGGTGGTTGAATGCCGTGCTGTGAAGCTGTCTGCAGCCTCTGCAGCACTGGTTCGATCCCGGCCGGCCGGCTAGGATCCCACATGGCACGGCAGACCTCTCCTGTCTCGCCTGCTGCTCCCCTCAGCAATGTATTTAGTAAGTCTGCCTGCTCTGTTCCCCGCTCTGTTTCTGGTGAATCCTCTCACCCTCCCACACATCTGGCCTGTACCCCAGTTCTTGTATAAATAAAATCTTTAAAAAAAAAAAGTAGCAGCAGAAAACTATATTGTAATGGCAGACTTCAACTAAAATAGAAGACCACTAACCTTTAAAAAACACAGCTGTAGAACAAAGAGGACAATGATCTAGTGAAGGACAGAACTGGGCAGTTAGCAGTTCACGTAATACAGATACACACGTGCTGATTCTCAATGAGGCACGCCTGAAACTCTTCTACACTATAATGTGATGTTACTTCAATTACAAAAAGATACTGCTTTAGAACATTTACCTGCAGTGGTACTGTCTGGGCAAAAGAAGCTATACATCAAAGGCAATGAACAATTTAAGGGCAACTTCTGGGGGAAAGTCTGAAGCAGAGATTCTGAATACAATAGAAGCAAATCCCACTTGAAAATTAGCCTTATGCCATAGACCAGTAGATGGAGAAGTTAAAAAATAGATGTGCATGCAGATTTGTGTGAAGTTCAAACAAAAGAATCCAGTGGCCATAAAGGAAGGATAGATACAGGAAGATTGTGAGTTGGCAAGTTCCCCGGCTTCCGGGGAGGGGGGCAGTGCCTGGAAGGAAGCACTTTTGGATGGAGAGGCAAGGAGTATGCTCAAAATTTGAGGACCCCTTCCTGTATAAGAACCATAAGCATACCCATGCATGAAGTATACGAGCGCGTGGTAAATATTAACCACCACCAACATTTGCATTTAACCACAGACATACACTCTTGCTCTTGTTTTAATGTGAAGACCAAAATGTCTGTTTTCTTTCTTCCTTTATCCTCTTTAATAAGAGCCCTGGGGCTTTGAAAACTCCTGGAGAACACCTAAATCCAACCCCTTCATTTTTCTGAGTAAAGAAAAAATCAGAGAGGTGAAGTAATTTCCAACAAGTCACACAGTGAGTTGCCAGCAAAATCAGGATTTGAATCAAGTACTTCAGAATGCTCTCTAGTTTTCTCTGAGAGTGCCAGGGACTCTGAGGGAAGAGAGCAAAGACCTGGGGTCAAGAATCACAGGAGGCCTCCTATCCCCCTGAGGATGCCAGGAGCCAACTCAGAACATGACAGTATCGGCACCCTTAAAGTGAGGCTGGCCAGGCTGCTTAATAAGCCAAGTGGGATCCATGCTTTGGTCTCACAAGGTCAAAGTCACCAGAAAAGCTCTGAGCCAAACGATTCAGGAGACCCAATTTCTAATCCTGGTTATGACACTAACTAGTCCCAGGACTAACCATGTCACTTCCCCTTTTTGAAATTCAGGCTCCTCATCTAGATTCTAGAACAAGAGTGAGTTGAGCTGTCTGGCGTAATTCAATTCTACAACATCTCCTGAACACCTAATAAAGGCCAGGAAATAACAGAATCAAAAAATAAAATATGACTTCCACTGGCTCCTAAAGAGCCCACAGCCTTACAGGTGAGACAGGGGTGCTGAACACACTGTGTTTAGGATGAACAAAATAAGATGAAGATGCAGAGGGTGGGGCAGGCCTGAGAAAGGTGTCTCAGGAGAGTGGCCAAGCCTGGAAGGAGGAATGCATTCAGCAGGGAGTTGAAGGAGGGAAAATAATTCATTGTGGTTATGGGCACAAAGCAGGAGAACAGAGCCACCAGGGAGAGCTTTGACAACAAAGCCATGGGCCTTACTCTCAAAACCATGGCCTCCCACCCTGCTGTTGAAGCAGAAGTGGGAGTGCTTAGTCTCCCCGGCCCCGCCCACCTTGAACGTTCCAAGATGCCTGGAAAGCAGCAGAGCAGGCAGGTGTTCTGGAGCCGGGCCACCCAGCTTTTGATCCTCGCCACCCACTAGCTGTGTGACCTTGGGCAAGTTTCTTAACTACTCTGAGACTCAGCATCTTCACCTATCAGTTGGGTAGAATAAAAGTAAATGTTTAACAGGGATAATGAATCTCATGCAACTGTACTGAGGATTTAAGAGACAATGTAGGTCAAAAGCTTGGCACCGCATCAATGCTCACAGTATAAATGCTCACCAAATGACCTGGTGTTATTATCCTTAAACCAGGGATCTGGGAACAATTTGGAGGATGGTAGCCCTATTCAGAGAAAGACTTGTGGGAAGATAAGGTCAACACCGGATAGAGGGTACGATTGTGCTGTCTTCCTTAAGAGCTAAAAAAAGAATAGCAAGCTGGGCTGAGACCAAGAGCAAGAGGGCAAGAAGGCGGTCCCTCCACAGCCAGCCCAGCAGCAAGTTGGGGAGGAGGACTAGAGAGACAGGAAAACAGTTGTGCTTTTTAGGGAGGAGTCTGCTTCTTTGGGTGTTATGTGAAACCCAATGCAGCTGATTCCCAGTTACTTAGGATTCGAAACCAACTAGCAGAATCTGGGTTACAAACTGAAGCAGGCTCTCCCCCCACCTTTGGTGGGGCTCAGGACGAAGGTCTCCATCCGTTACTCACACTCCACCTGAGTTACTTCAGCTAACCCTGAAGTTCTCCCTTCGGCTACCATTCTGTGGCCAGCCCAAACCCCAAGACCGTGTCTCCTGGTCCTCGAGACCAATCCAGTGTACACTCACACCACCTCTCCACCCCCCCACCCCACGCTGACAGCCTGTCTTAAGGGGCTTGTCTTTTATATCAGGTTTTTCAAATTGTGTGTGAAGCTATGGATCTTGCCAGACCATGCCGCCCCTCAGGAACATGAATTCTTCAAGTTTATTCTCCACCGGGTGGAGAATACACATCTCATCATATTTGCCCTAAAAGCACCCTCTCTAGAGTTTGAACAAGGACCGCAGCTTCTGCGCAAGGGTAACCTCCTCTTCCTAGAAGACAGGGTTGATTTCTCTACTTCCAGCCCTAAAAGGCAAATCTTTGCATCTGGAAAGAGCAATGGATTTGATTCCAAGGCCTTCGCTTAAGGACACAGCTCTTACCAGCGGTGTGACCTTGGATAAATCACGGAACTGCCCTGAATCTTAGTTCCTTTTTCATCCATAAAATGAGACTGGCGGGAGATCTAGGGGTGATAATGCCTGCCCTCCCCGCCCTGTTGCCACCTCCAAAGCCCCTGCTCTCACTGTGGGGGACCCTGCCACCCTGTGAAATTGCATGTGCACCTTCATTTTGCAGAACTCTCTTGGTGTTATGTATGAGAAATAAAGAACTTTGGTGAGAGTTTGTAAGAGTCAAAAATGAAGAAGAAATAACAGCCAAGACGTGTGTAAATAAATGTCATCATTATTTCCAACAGGTCCCAACTCCCAAAGGGCCAAAAGACCCAGGCCAGCAGAGACCCAGACATGACTGCTACAGGAGAGATGGAGAATTTCAAAAGACCCTGGGCCTGGGTCCCAAGAAAATATGAAAATGGGGTCAGAGGGTGGCGGTGGGGATGGGGGTGGGGACTGAAAGGATCACTTTGTATTCAAATCACACAGCTGGCCTTTTCAACAATAAATAGTTGTGTTCCCATCCTCCCGGCTCCTAGGCTCCAAGACACCAAACCAAGACAATTGGCCCATCAGGAAAAAAGACCATTGTGTGTGCTTCTGAGCATGATTTATGGGGAGGGCGGGGCTGGCTGTGTTTCCCGTGATTATGACTCTCAAATGCAATCTCGATAGCTTGTTCATCATCCTGGACGGCTGGATGGACTGGGATGCTGAAGAGCAGTGGCCACCCGGTCATATTTCATCTTCTCGAGTCCGTGGAGCCAAATTAATTGTTCCATCGATTGGAGAGGCAGAACAGCAATGGCACTGTGGCTCACCACAGTCCCGGGGAAGACCGGCCAGACCCTCCAGGGGCTGATGTCCAAACCCCCAGCAAGCAGCCAGGGCCTGGGACCCTGCCACAAGCCGCTGCTGCCTCCACTGTGTCCCCAGAGCTGGGTGCTGCATCCACAGTCTCCATTTCCCCTGGGGCCAGTGCGCCTGTCCTCTGCACCTGTCTGGCGGACAGAGCCAGCTCATCGGGTCTGGGAGAGACAAGCTTGCTGCCTTTCCAGACAGGCGGTTCTCCTGTGTTCACATTCTTAATGTCATTTCGGGAGGGAATCAAATGAAATCAAAGTGCAGCTTTCTCTCTGTGCAGACCCAGCTGCTCAGCCTCCCACAATTAACCCTGCGGCTGAGTCCTGGCTCACTGATGCTGTGTCGCTGGTCCCAGTTCAGGCCTCAGGCCAAGTCCACTTCCCTGCCGGGTGGGGGTGTTGGCCTGGTCGAGGGAAGATACATCCCATCCTGTTAGGTTGCTGCCATGGCCACCCCTCTGATCTCTCCTAGGCTGCGAGGAGAAGTGGAGGTGAGGGATGCGTTCTTTTCTGGGGCTCCTTTCTTGAGGGCTCATGTGGCCACAGCCGCTGAACAAACTCATCAGGACACAAGACCCTTCTCTAAAAACACTGAGGCCACACAGGACACCACCCAGAGAGTCTGTGGTTAGGGGCTTTTCTGGCCTGAGCCACCTCTCCAGTCTCCCTGACCCCCTTTTCAATGCTAGTGACCCTCACGCTACTCACTCTGTGTGTGAGCTATGCTATTCACATCTGTGGCCTTAGGGTTCCCTTCCTTAGGTCTTGGCAGTTACCCACTGTGTCTGCTGCTGAGAGCTCTGCTGAAAGCAAACCAACTCAGTTTCCAGAGGGCTGTGTGCTCCAGCTTCCTCTCAGACCAGCCAGTGTGGGATGGAGGACTAGCACATATAAGCCCTGCTGAGCCCTGGGGGCTGTGAACTTTCCCACAATGACTAGACTAAGCACCCACGGATCCCAACTCCCAATTCCAGAACTCAGCACTGGTCCCTAGTCGGGCCTGATGAGGAGAGGGCTCTGTGAGGAAAGTCCCAGACTTCACCTGCTCCACAGAGAAATCAAGACACAGGATGAGGGCAAGGTGGAGTAGAGCAACTGGGAATGATCTCATCTATTCCAGAATCTCCACCATGCCCCAGGGTCTGAGCATTCATGTGCCCACCTCCTGAGCCTCCATCAACCCTCACCTGGAGGACTGAAGGAACCCCTAATTAATCACCCCACATGGGGTCCTCTCTCCTTGGGCTCTCTGATCTAGAGATGTTCCTGTGAGACTTGGTGACTCCCTTTCTCAAAAGCTTTCAGTGGCTTCCCACTGAATCTAGAATAACTGCCACAGCCCTGCGTGTTCCCCATGCCCCTGGCCCTCGTCCTGAGCACTCCAGCCACAGCCCCAGGTCTGTTTCCTCTAGCATGCCAAGCCCTCCCCATCCCAGGTACTCTTCACAGGCTTTCCTGTCTGTCTGGAACTTTCCAAAGTCCATGACTAGCTAGCTTTTCTGGCCTGCAGCTTTCAGCTTAAAAGTTATACTCTTCCCTGTGCCCACTCACACAGCAATCTAAATATTATTTTTTCTTAGAGGATTCTGTTCTGTCCTTCATAGATTATCAATCACATGTGTGCGTGTGTGCTTGCATTGATTCATTTGCAATATTCATATATTCAGGCTCACTCCCCTCCTAGGACTGATATCTTGGTAAATACAGAGACCACGTCCTGTTCTCCACAGCACCCGCAGTCCCTAGCACAGAGCCTGGCAAACATAGCCCCCAAATATCCACTGAATGGATGAACAAATGAGTGAATGAGTACAGATGAGAAATGAGTGAATGGGTGGAGGAATCTTCTGGCAGCAGGGGATCATGGCATTATTGTTCTCCATCAGGGCTGACCTCTTCCAACCTCTCCTGCTGTCCCCAAGGCAGGCACTGGAAACTCAGGTGCTATTTGTCCGCCTTCTTCCTTGCAGGGAATAAGCTTCTGAGTCTTCTCCATTTGGCACTTTCTGAAGCCAGTCTGCACATGCCCACAGGGCCTCTCACACCACTGTGGTCCTTCTGATGCCAATCCACACATGCCTGTGGGGTCACTCCCTTCAGATGACCCCAGCCAGGCCCACCATCTTGGTCCTCCATTTTGGGTCCAGTTGAGGTGAGGTTACTGTGTGGTAGGGGGTGCCCAAGAAAGGGTTAAGTTGCCAGAAGCAGAGTCCTGCCCTTGGGTTTGCTCAGCCAATCAGAGTCTGTCCTGATGAGGTAAAGCTTCTATCCTGGGTAGCATTGGTTGAGTTGGCCGGCCCCATCTCCTGCTGGAGAGAGCCATAAGGGTGGAGTTTCTGTGGAACCAGACAGAACTGGAATTAGCTTGCTGTCTACTCAGGCCAGGGCTGCCTGGCTCCGGGACCTGCCCCTGCTCCTTTCTAAGGTGCTCAGAGAGACCCTGGCATCTACGGGGCCCTTCTCTAACTGCCTGTGGAGATGACAAGGTGAGGTGGCACGCACCTTAGTGTCACATGTGTGAGAAGTCTCACAGCCAGAGCAGGCCCAGGAGGCCTCAGTTTCCCTGCCTGAGCCCTGGAATTGGGCAGGAGCAGTTGCCACTTGGGCTCAAGAGTGCCAGTATTCAGTTTCAAAACACAAGGCCCCTTGATCGAACTTCCTATACAGCTGTGATTTGAACATCATGATAATAATAGCAGCTAGTTCGCAGAGTTCTTGTGTGCCACTTGGTAAGCACATTACCAGAGTTTAATCCTCATGAAAACCCTGTTAATCCACCTACTTTATTGATGAAAAAGCTGAATCTCAGAGGCTTGGTGCCTCTCTCGAGGCCTCAGAGCAGTAAGAGTTGGCACCTCCTGTATCACTTGTTAGGTTATTTTCGCACTATCTGTTGGCATATCTGTCTCCACTGGACTGTGCTTTCCTGTGGACAGAGGGTGATGGTTTCATCTGTGTGTTCCCACTGTGGAGTCCTGAAAACGGGGAGCACATGCTGCATGGCGCCTCCCACACACACTTCTCACCAAAAAGCCTACTCCTTTCAGAGGCTTCCCCTCTCCCAGGCCAGCCCTATGCACATGTTGGGGTTCATAGAGGGTCATTGAGTAGATGATGAATGTGAACCAAACCCCCACTGCACCACTCCGAGGTGCTGTCATCATGGCCTTTAATGCTTGGATTACAACTCTGGTGCCCCTGTCTAGTCTGTGCAATTAAAGGAGAATTCTGTAAGGGCAGGGACCAGGACTCATTCATCTCTGTGATTCCAAAGCACTAGAACTGGCAACAGAGCAGGCATTTATTATGTATATTTGATTGAATAATCAAAATAATATAGATCTGTCTATCCCTGTTTGCTAAGGATCTCAGCAGTCCCCTCATGACCTCTGGGGAGTTGTTCTAGATGAGAAGCGTTAGTGAGCTCCCGTGGCAGGGGGCTTAGTAAAAGCCGTTCATTCCAGACATGAAAGCTAGGTCCTCTCCAGGGAGAGATCATGAAGCAGAGGGGCAACAGAGTTCTGATGAGGAAGAGGTGAGCAGAAGCAGGGGAAAGCGAGGAAGTGGGTCATTTGTTTCTACAGAAAGAGGAGGGAAAACACACAGGCCACCCCAGAGCCGCTGAGAGCAAGCAGGAGACAGGCAGTGGAGCCCAGAGAAGGGAAGCTGTTAGTGGCTGCCTGCCTCGTATCTACCCCACCACAGCCAAGACCCACAACACTGTATATAACCCACATGCCACAGGCACCACAAAGACAGCACAGAAAGTCTGTGCCTGCCCCTCTGCAGCCCCTGGCTGCGGGGAACAGCCCTGGCCCCAAGTGATCAGGAATCTTCAGGGTTCAGTGCCCTGCTGGAGACTGGATGACCAGGCCCTGAACTTTCATGTCACTGCAGAGCTGGAGGAGCTGGAAAGAGCCACGGGACCAACGCACAAGGGGACAGCTGAGGCCCCCTGGGAAGTGGTGGCCAAGGTCACGTTGCAGGTGGGGCACACCTGCCTCTCCATTGTTCTATGAATCATCTTCCTCCAATGCCCTTGGTCCTTCCCAGCAAGCATTTCATTTTCACAGCAAATCACATGGATTATATTTTGCAAATTAGGGGAGAACTTTACATTCATTGAGATATTTGAAGAAACCCCCATTCCAATGTGTCAGCAAACAACTTCAGAGAGGAACAGAAGGGGCAGCAGACCACTTTAGGGTTTGCAACACTGTTCCCCTTGTCAGGAATGTGCAATTAAACCTGGCAAACCCCTTTCCCTGAGGTGTTGGGGGAAGGGGCCAGGGCAGTGATTCCCTTTGTTCCAAACAAGGCGGGGCATCACTGAAAGAACAAAGAAGAAGCTTTGAAAAAGGCAGGGCACGCCACTCCTCAGGACTCAGAACCACTGGTCAAGACAGGACTCTTTTCTGAAAAGCCAGAAGCTGATGTCCAAGCTTGCCTTGTTCTCCCCTCTTCTCTCTGCCCTGCAGGACAGCAACCTCAGTGAAAAGGCCATGGCTCGGCCCTTGGGAAGGAGGCTCGTGGTCACCTCTGAGGCGGCCAGGACCGAAGCAACCTGAACACAGGTGGACAAACTGTTAGCAGGCTGGCAGGTCACCTAGGCCCAGTCACTGAGGTCGCTAAAGCACTCCTAGAATACGTGGAACTGGGGAAAATTATAGTTAAAGCTATATTTACCACAACTTCCTGTATGGGGAGCATGGTGTAAGAGACTAGAAAAAATATGTTGCTAAGACTTCAGGAGTACAGTGGGAGTGGGGTGAAGAAGGAGGTTGGGAAGGGAAAGCCCCGTTGGGGTGGCACCATTGCCTTCTAAGCGGGGGTAGGCCCAGTGGGGTGAGCAAGGCTGCAGCAGGGCCCAGTTCTTAGGGGCAGAGCTAGTTCTGAGGCTATCCCAGCAGTGAGGCCCAACCTCCTTACCCTTCCAAGAAGCCCGCAGCCCAGGACACTTCTCTGTTACACATACATTTAAAGAGTTTTGATTTGAAAAGGTGACTGACCCAGGATGCCCATATATGGATATAAGATCTTGAAGTCAGATCCTGAACACTTGCAGGGTCAGCAGGTCAAGCCTAAGCCCTACCAGGAGCAGAGCCTCTTCTGGAAACCTAGCCTGACCCCAGTCCCCCATGGAGATGGAGGGAGGCACTCTGGGCTCTCCGGGCACCGAGAAGCCTGCCGCCAGCGCTCCACAGAGCCTGTAGACTCTGCAGTTAGGGCAGGAAGAACTCTTTGCCCCAGACCAGGAGGAGCTACACCCCAAGAAGAGAAAGCTAGGGGATACGCACTCCACCTATGACACCCCCAAGGGCTGCCCAGTGAAGAGAGGATGGGCTTGTTTCTGACTTTGACCAACCCAGGTCATCAAGGAACAAGGCAGCCAGTCCCAGCACAGGTCTGTTTAGAGTGAGAACCAGGCAGGGGAGCATGCAGCAGCCTGGGTGGAGTTGGAGTAGTGCAGTGCCTCCTGATGGATTGAGCGCCTACTGCATACCAGGCCCTGGCTATCAACTGTGTATGCCCAGTTACAGTTAACTTTCACAACAACCCTTTGGGGGAGGAACGGTTGTTCCCAGGTTGGGACACCAAAGCATGGTGACTCATCCAAGGTCACAGCAACAATCAAGCAGCCAATGGTGACTCCAATTCCTTGCTCTACCCCACCCTGTCCTCCCTCATCAGAGTTCATCTTGCCCCTGGTCAGCATAAAACAAGATAACTGTCAAGTTTGGGATAATGCAATTCTCAGACCCTCATTCCTTCAGGGAATAGCTCCAGAGCTGCTGTCTACCCCTCATCCCCACCTCCTGCCCTCAGCAGGCCTGTCCCCCACTGCCCCACCGCATGCCTGCTGCCTATGGCAGTGGCCTGAACGCATCGGGAAAAAGCAGTAAGGCCAGCAAATTTATAAACTGCCACTCACACACATTTATTCTCTTTCTCCAGATCCAGCAAAGCAACCACCTTGGCTCCTCTTGCAAACAACCAGACCAAATCCCAAAATGGCCAACACTTTTACAAGAGAGGGGGGCTGAGTCATTCACAACTGGGGACTATGAATGTGTGTTGGGACTGGCATCAGGGGTCAAAGCCCCCATCCCATCCTCCTCCACAGGCACTGGGCCAGCCGAGAGGTGCCTGTCCCCAGTCAGTCTCAGTTGGGAATCTCTAATCTTCCTGATCTCCAGGGCCCTGGGCCCCAGAGAACTCCACTTGGCTGTGGCCTGCCTCAAACTCTAATAGCTTCTGCCACAAAAGTCCCCTCCCGGTGATGTTCTGCCTCGAGCCAGTGTTAAATGCCCATGTGCTGTCTCTGGACATCACCTACCCAGTGGCAGAGGGGGCAAGCATGCCAGGCAGCAGCAAGGAGGCCAGCGCAAATTAGACCTTGCCATAGGCAAAGCAAAGAACAGACCCGAGAATTGATGGGTCATGCTCAATTGGACTCTGTCACTCTAGCCCAGCACTGTTAAATCTACTCAGTGGACCCGGGGAAGGCCAAGGGGCTGACATTCAAGCACAGGCTTCCTTGCCAGGAACTCAATGCCCAGATCCAAGTTCTAAGCTCGGACAAGTCCCAAGCTCAGTGTGGAGCCTGGAGGTCCAGGCTGGCAGCAGGGAAGTCAGGCAGCCAGGGCTGGGGCCACTGACAAGGCCCTTACCTTGCTCTCCAGGGGCGATGCCACCAGCTGTTGCTGCTTAGCGATGTTCTCCGACAGGCACCAGCACACTCTCTTCTTCTGCTCCTGCGAGTGCGCTTCCAAAGTGAATAAGCACTCGGCTTTCTGACGTAAGGGAAAACAGAGAAAGGGCCGGTCAGGGCTGCTCCCTGGCTCAGGGGGCTCCCAGGCCCAAGCCCATTCCTGGGCTCCGGAGGGTGAGGCTGCAGCAAGGAGGGAGTGTCCGCTAAAAGCCACAAATGCACACTAATCCCTGGTGACATCAAGGTAGCCAGAGGAGCAGCAGGGAAGCTGGTTCAGGGGGCCAGCTAGCTAGCCAAGCCCTGTGCCCACAGGTTGGGGGAAGGGAAGGAGGGGTGGTTCCCAACACAGTGGAGGCTTGTGGAGGGCCATAGGACAGAAATGGTGAGGTCACCCTCTGGAGACAAGCAGCACAAGGCAGCAGCTGGAGGAACGTATGGGGAACCCCGGTCTCTGGACCGCTGATGCTCTGTGGAGCCAGGACCCCTCCTCAACCTCACCATCTAATCTCTAGGCCAAATTAGATGGGTGGTTGAATAGTCATATCAACAGAACCCAGACAGCAACTCGGTCCCTTTGGAAAGCCTTTGGCAGGCAAGCACGTGGCCCTACCACTGTCTGGCACATGAGCAGGGTCTGATCAATGACTATTCAGTTCAGCGGACTGCAAGGACAGTCTTTGCTATCATCTAAATCTTGCTTTGCGATTTAACCTCGTTAAAAGCTGAGTCTTCCCAACTAAACTAGAAACTCCTTCCAGAAAGGCCTTTTTCATTTGTGCCTAATACAATGCTTGATAAGTAATGATCTTGGTCAACTCTGGGTCCCTGGAGGGACTTCCGCGATGAGGTCAAATCCAGGCCAGCTTTGGCACAAATACCAGGGAACTGCTGGGACCCAGGGAGATGCAGTGAAGCAGAAGGAGCTGGGGGTGGGTGGGGAATGGTCCAGATACCCATTATTAGCATCCACTACAGGATGCTCTGATGGGGAATTGCAAGCTCTTTCTGACTCTGCTGGAATTTGATTACAACCCCACAGGGCTGCATGGAGATGAACTCAACCAAGGAGTTAAAAGCACGAACTGGATGGCTTGGAACAAAGGAAAAGACAATGTTCCAAACAGTCCTTTTTTGTTTTGCAGTTGGGCAGGCTTCCTTTGAGTCTCAGCTTTGCTCCTTTCTAGCTGTCAACCACAAGAAAGTCTGTAAAACGAGAATGATAATGACATCACCTACCCCTCCCAGCTACTGGGACACAAGCAATGAGGACAACCTCAGGCCTCAACAAAGAGCAGCCACGGGCATTACTCAGGCCTTCATTTGTTTAATAAATACCTGCTCTATGTCAGGGTCTGTACTAGGCCCTGGGGATAAAGAGGGAAGAGACCTGAGCTCTTGCCCTCAGGTTGGGAAGCAGAGACAATAAACCTAGAACCAATGACATCAGCAGTAGAATTACAAATTGTGAAATGACCCCAAAGGGGGAGCTTCTGGCAAGCCTGGAGGTCTGCGAAGTTCTCTCTGAAGGGGGAGCACCAAAGCAAAGGCCTAAACAGTAAGAAGCCAGCAAGGAAAGTGCTTGGGAGGGGAGAAAGTGCTGCAGGCAGAAGGAACAAAGGCTCTGAGCTGGGGTGGGGACTGGCATCACCTAAGAGCAACTGGGACATTTTCCACCCTGCCACCCAACACAGTCTTCAGGGCAGGGCCACTAGCCATGTTGTGTTCCCAGGGTGCCAACCCTTCCTCTCCTACCCCAAAGTGCTCAGAGGCTCATTTTCCTGAATGCCTCAGAGGAGAGAGGGAGCCAAGCCCTGCCCTTGGCTTCAGGGATCTGAGTGCAAGTGGCAAGGCAATTCTGGAGCTACCATTTAATCACAGGTTCTCTGTACCTCCCAGAACCCCCAGTCCCCTGCAGGGACACATGCACCCAGCAGAAAGCCTCTAGGTCTCCCAAGGAGCAGTCAGGTGGGGCACAAACTGGCCAGAAATTCCTCCTTTCTCTCTCCTTCCCTCTGCGAGGGGAAAAAGGAGGTGGGGATTCTGGTATCTTCTGGCTTAGAAAGACCACTCTTTCTAACCACAAAGCTGGTCCTGGTCCTGGCAGAAGCCTCCCAGCCCTACCTCCACCAGTTTTTTGGGTTTCAGCAAATCTCTAACCTCCCTCAGCCCCAACTTCCCTCTTCCAGTTCGGAAAGGGGGAGTCATTTTAACAAATTCTCCTTTCACCTAATTATCATTTTAAAGAGTACTTTTCTATCCACCATCTCATTTTGGTGTTGCTAATTCTGTGGAGCAGGATGGAGAGCATGAATTGTAAATCCCACTTTATGGCAGGGAAAGACCCAAGTTCAGCATAGCTAATGGCCTCCCTGTTAGCTTATGACCAGCGAGCAAGAGAAAGCAGACCCAACGCCTTGGAAAACTACCTGCTGAGATATCATCCCCCACAACATGGGGAGGCCGCCTAGGAGGACCACCCCCTTGTGGGAGTACCCTCCCTTGCAGATGGGCCTGAAGGCAGCCAAAGAACAAAGCCCCAGAAGAGCCAATGGGTCTCAGAGACCCCAATGGGTCTCAGAACAGCTGCAGGGCTCACTAGCAGAAATGCAATAAAGCCTTCTCATGCTGAATGGGTTTCTCCCAGCAAAGAGTCACCTGCTCCCCAATCCTGAGTCACCCACCTCACATCCACACCACGCACCCTGCTAGGCACTTGACCAGCAGTGTCTTAATGCTTCTTCCAACACTCTAGCAAGGTGGCAGTTATGGTTACCTCCATCTTATCAACAACCCCAAGAACCTCCTCCCCATGAGTAATCTCCTTTAGAAAGCCCTATTTCTCCACCCCATGGCGACTGCATTGCCTACCTCAATAGTAGTGCATAGGACTGTGGCTCTGAGGGCTTGAAGCTAAAAGACATGCAAGGCTAGAGGACCCCAAAGTCTTCTGAGATCACAAGGACCTAGACCCAGGTGCTGCACCTCCCCCTGCAGTGACCTTTAGGTGCTGGTCCGCGGCACACAGGCCTGGCTCAGAGGTGTGGGATGCCTGTCTTAGATTGGCAAGGCTTCTCTCTAGGTGCTGCCTGGATCTTTGGATGCTGCCTGGAGCAGGGAGCCATAGCCCAGCAGGGAGGCTAATGCCTAACTGCCTGTGCCTGTCTATACCAGGGGGCTCTTGCCATCTCTCTTAATCTCAGTCCAAATCCAACTCATCAGTTTCAGTGCTGATGTGTAATGACTGTGCCCTCAACACCAGGCTCCAGGGCCACATCCAGAAACCACCCTGCAGGCATCCTCGCTTAACTCAGGGCGGGCCCTCCTGACAACACGGTGGTTGGTTGGTGTAGCACAGACTTCAGATACAGCAGCACTGGGTCCAGACTTCTGCATTTAAACATGAACATCCCCAAATCCAAGCAGAAACCCAGCTCCCCCTGGCCTCTTTAAAACCCCCATTGCCTCCCTGTTCCCGAATTAGTGTTATCTTTGTAAAAGCTAAAACCTCTTCTGCTATTGTATCAGTTTGTCCATATGCTTTGACAAACATTCTCTCCTATAATCCAGTTCTGATGACCCTGTGACAGAGGAAAGAGGGGAAGGCACAGTTGTTACCATTTTTCAGATGAGAAAACCAACGCCCAGAGACATTAAATTGGTGGCCCCAGAAGGTCCCCAGAGAGGAAAGAGGCAAAGTCTGCCTTCTGCCTTCCAGAGCCTCTGATCTTGCCACATCTGTGTAACTGTGTAGGTACATTACCAAGAATGTGAGATATTCCTCTTAGAGTTCTTTTTAAAGGATCGATAAATCGCTGGTGTTGTCTCTAATGGAGAGTAAATGAATATAAAAAGCTCTCCCCCTGTTATGAAGCTAACAATAATAACAGCTACATTTATTGAGCACTCACTGTGTGCCAGGCTGTGCTAAGTGCATTGGACACAGGAGCTTATTGAATCTCATTTAATCATTACAACAACCCTGCAAGGCCAGCCTCCTTAGCTTTGTTTTAGAGATGAGATCCAGATCCCTGGGTTGGAATTAGGCAGGTTTAGGCAGATGGGGAATCAACAGAGCCAAGATTCAAAGGTAAGCCTTCCTAATTCCAAAGTACAGACTTTTAAATTAATGGAGCCAGCTTCGGATTCTAGGTTAGAAAATGGTCCCTGACTAGCATGCCCTCTGATCCAAAGCTCCCTCCCCCTCCCCAGCCCCCATGCTCTGAAGCTAGTCATGGGCCTCATCTGTCTCCTATATGCAAGGAAATAAGGAACACCTGTCCAGGAGACTGGAGACCCCAGGGTTAAGGACTGTTTGGGACAACGCCAGCAGGACCTCTCTGCCAGGGAAAATCAGAGCTGCTGCCACCCAGGCTTATGGGGCTTCTCAGTGCAAATCCTGACTCTCTTACCCTGGTTTCTTCCCTGGGTGCCACCTGCATGTTAGGCAATGAAGAGAACCTACTTGTTGGAAATGCCAACTACCACGTGAGTGCAGGATTCTCCGCAGGATCCAAAACCACTGTGTCAAGACAGTCCCAGGCTACAGAGCAGCCGGCATCTTGTCTTCCTGCCTTACAGACGTGCCTCTCATAAATAGCAAACCATTAAGAGAAAAGAGAGGCTTCTGGTTGCCTGTGAGCTTCCATCCTCCAGCCCCTTGGGGTCAGATCACCTGGCACTTTACTGAAATAAAAGGCCCCAGATCAATATCCCTTCATCAATCTTTGGAGGGCTAAAAGGTCACAGCTCCCAGGAAGCCAATGAGCAGAAGTGCTTTTCTCTGGGAAAAACAAAACCCAGCCTGGCAGGAAGCTCTCTTGGCATTAAAAGATCCTGGAGCCTGATTTCAGGCCCTGCCAGAGAGAATCAGAATCTAGGGGCTGTGAAGCTGGGGGGGGGGGGTAAAATAAATGCTCATATTAGCAGAGACACGAGGTTACAAATAGAACATTCACTGAAAATTGAAAATAATTGGTATGGCTCAGTGGCTCTCAACTTTTTGATCCCAAAGGACCTCTTTGATTAAACCTCTGGTTTAATGATATTTTGTCTACTAAACTATACCAAGCATTATGTTGTTGGCCCAATTTTGTTCAGCAAAGACAAAACACTGCCCATCAGAGCTTCTGATGAGACAGAGATAACTAGGAACACCAGTCAGGATAGCCATGGAATGGGGGCCAGTCATTCCAGCCCCAAACACAGACAATTGATGTTTTCTTTAGCTGGTGGTTCCTGGCCCAGTAAAGGTACAGTTAGCTTCAGGTCTTTTGAAAACATGACAGGCTCCCTGTAGAAGGGGTCATAAGTAGGGCTTCCCAGAAAAAGAGGAAATAAGAGTAGGTACAAGAATCAGAGCACTCTGTAGAGGGAGGGCTATCAAATAAATAGGGTGAAGCACAGAGGTCAGGGCCCACCCTCACTGTGACCCTTGAGCTAGAGACCAAGAGAGGGAGAGCACGGCGTCCTGCCAGCCCCTCTGAGCACGTACATGTCCACTGTTCTAGCCAGAGGGCAGAGAGGCAGAGGTGAGGACTGCGGTGTCTGTTCTTCAGGGCAGGGAACGGCCATTCTGGACTTGCCAAGACCATGGCATCTGCAGCTGTGCTAGAACCAAGCCCACTGTCACCCCTCCAGCACCAGGTCACAGAGCTGTCTCTTCAGATTCAGAGGAAGGACTCACCTCTGCTAGATACAGCACACAGAATTTCAGGTCTTCTGAAGAACCTTTGAGGGAACAAAAAGTAAGCCTTGCATTAGAATTAGCTCCAGAGTCTCAGCAGTTTGCTAGAGCACAGCCAGCAGTCTCACCCAGGGGCCTGTGTATGGTATTTCCTGGAAAAAGAGGAGGAAAGGGGGCAAGCACCAGGGACAGGGAACCATGGTGGGGGGGCGGGGGGGTCACTAATAACTAACCAGGTTCAGGCACAGCTGTATGGTCTCTGCCTACAGGTCAGTGGCCTGTGGAGGGCTGAGGATGCCTCTACCCCTGGCAGGAGAGAGAGTCAAGAGCACCCTCTGGCATCGGACAGGGAACTGTCCGCCCTGGCAGATTTCCTCCTTCCCACACTGCCTCTGATGAGGGACATTGAGGCAGCACATATTTTGGGTTTTCTTTTTCTTTTTTTTTTTTAAAGATTTATTTATTTGTTTGTTTATTTATTTATACAAGCACTGGGTACAGTCAGAAGCGCGGGAGGGTGAGAGAATTCACCAGAGCCAGAGCGGTGAGCAGAGCAGGCAGAAGGACCGAAGTACACTGCTGAGGGGAGCAGCAGGTGGCAGGAGAGGTCTGCGCGCCATGTGGGACCCTCCTCCCATGGCCAGGGAGTAGCTGGGGATTGAACCGGCACTGCAGAGGCTGCGGGCAGCTTCGCATTCCAGCGCTTAACCTCTGCGCCACCAGGGAGGCCCATATTTTGGGTTTTCTGTTAAACACTGCAACTGATTTCAACAGTTTGAAACCCAGTGAGGATATACTTAGTGGCCAGGAGAGCCCTGTTTCCCACCAAGGAATGCCTGGGCTGTGCAAAGGGATCCTGGTCATGCATTGGGTAGATCCCAGAGAAGTTGCCCAGTCCAGTTCCAACCCCTTGGTGTATCCTTCTAGAACCTTCTCATCCCCTGGACTAGAATCCCAAATCCAACCATTCACCTTCCAACTGCATGGGCAAAGACAGGGAGAGGAAGCACAATCTGGACTCCAGGGACAGCAAGTGTGAGAAGTCCCTCCTCCTCTCCAGGACACCTCTCCTGACCACTGCAGGCTCAGAACCTGACACCACTTCCACCTGGGAGGGACTGTGGGCTGCTCCCCTCTGGGAGTCCTACTCTATGATGGCAGATGATTCAGTCCACAAGCTTCAGAAGCACAAGGACGGCAAGATCACTTCCAGCCTCCGGGGAAGGTTTCCTGGAGTTTGAACTCAGAGTAGGAAGAAAGGGCTCTCCGGGGAGTGGGAACAGCATGGGCAAAGGCAGGGAGATGAAGCACAATCTGGGCTCCAGGGACAGCAAGTGTGAGAAGTCCCTCCTCCTCTCCAGACACTTCCCCTGACCACGGCAGGCTGCACCTCAGAACCTGGCAGCGCTTCCCAGGGGGGCGACTCCACTGGGCACAGGCCAGGCGTGGTTCATAGCTTCCCGTATTTCAAACAATCAACCTCACCAGGCAGGTTGTTGGGGGTGGGGGCTGGGGAGGGTTGGAGACGGAAGTTGCTGCACAGCATGTACAATAGCAAACACAGAGTGTCGGAGAACTTGAGAGTACCCGGTGCTATGTGCCAGCCACTGTGCCAGGGCTTTACATGGATAAGTTCAACCCTCACAAAAGCCCCTGTGAGAAGGGGTTGTTAGCCTTCATGATGATTCATGTGAGAAAACTGAGGCAGAAGTGGGCTGAGTAACTTGACCTGGGTAGAAAGGGGAAGAAGCAAGATTTTCACGCAGGAAACCTGGCTCACAACATAAGTCTTAACCAGCCCCTCTGTCCTCTCCAGGAACCAGGCCCAGCGCTAAACTCAAAGCAGTTCCCTCAGCCCAAACTTGCATCAAAGAATTATCAGAAAAACCAAAATGTGTTGCAAAGCAAAGGGGGCAAGTGGGCCAAGCAAACTCCTAAGGACAGTAGTGAATGAGAACCCCAGGTAGGTGAAGGCCAGGCCCCCTCAGAAGAGGTGCCTGGCACTCCCCTGGGTGAAAATAGCCCTAGGGCCAGCCCTGTAAGCCAGAGACAAATGAAAATAGCCCATAAGTAAATGGGGGTTCACTTTGGACTGAGAATAAGTCCTTCTACTTCTCCACACTTAGAGATGGGTTGGGAGGGAGAAAGTCCTGCCTGAGAAGCCATCATGTTTAAAGACTCTCTAACTTCAAAGCTGCCAGGTCTTTGATTTGCCAAGGGTGGGGGTGGGGAGGGGGTAGAGGCCCAGGGAGGGCCTCTTTTGTTTAAGAAAACATTCTGGGATGCTTCCTTGACTTTCCAGAAGCAGACCCTAATGCCAAGAGAGAAACAGAAAGATCTATGTAAGAAAATAACCAAGTTTGGTTTTTAGAAGCTGGCAGAAGAGAAGGTTCTAGAAGGGAGGGGAAAGCCAAGGAGATGGGGACCTCAGGGAAACAGGATGCAAAGGTTGAGGGTTGCATCTCGGACAAATTCCCAATGGTGAGGATGATCGACAGCTTGTTTTGACAGCTTTTCTGTGCTGTGACAACTCTGCTACCACCCTTCTGTGTTACCCCAAATCATCTCTGAAATCTGCTCCTCATCACAGCCTTGTGCTGGCAGCACCTTGAGGGGAGGATGGAATGAGGGCAGAGCTCAGCATGGCTCAGAGCTTCACAAAAGGACGACAAGTCTCAAGATCCAGGGGTGCCAGGAAGGAGCCGCAGCTGCAGAAGCACAGCTGCAAGGTGGCTGACCAAGGAGAGAAAACTCAGTCCTACCAGAAACCCTTCTAGAACATGAGACTGGGTTCTGGAATTCCCAGAGCACGGATGTGGGTCTAGTATCAACAGAAGGGACAGTGAGGCAGCACTTATTTGGGTTTTCCCTCTAACCCTCAGACTGCTTTCACCATTTTGAAATTTAAGTAGGAGTCGCTGGTTCCTGGGTGTGCCTTGCTCCCCACCCACCAAGGAAGGTGAAAGCCATGGCTGAGTGGGTCCCAGAGAGGAGTTTCCAGTCCAAGTCTGAGCCCTCTCAAGCCTGGTCCAAGGTCCTTACTCAACCACTTGAGACAAGCTGGGAGGGTGTGCGCTCCATTTTGCAGATGCAAAAGTGAGGCCCAGGGAGGGAAGCTAGATTCACAAGGCACATAGTGAGCAAGCGGCTGAGCTGAGATGCAAACACAGGACTGCCAGCCTCTGAAGCCTGTGTTGTGACCTCTGCATCACACTTCTGTCCCTCTCCTGGAGTGGTCATTTTCCATTCTACCAGGCCACAGGCTCTGGAGACCAGCACGCATCTCTCTATCTCCTGGGTGGCCAGCACTGGGCTCTGCAGGCTCAGAAAATGTCAACCCACTAAACTTAACTCCAAGCATCCCAGCAGCTGGCACCTAAGCTGCTAAGTTTCCAGGGCCTGGCACCCAGCTCCCCAGGGTAGATGGAGAGCCCAAGAATCAACGAAACATTTCCAGGCCATCCTGAGAGACTGGAGCAGGCCAGGAAGACATGCTGTGGGCGGGATGCTGGCTGCCTGGGAGGTAAAAACACAAAGAGCAGTAAAGCCAGTGGGCGGCAGAGGCAGGAAGAGACCACAATGGGCCCTGGCTGACCGGAGATGTCCCAATTGTTAGCTCCAGCTCTCCGCCTGTTCCCATTACACTGTCGTTCAGTCCTGCTGAAGCTTGGGAGGATCAGGCAAGGTTTAAGTAGCCACCAGCCAGGAGCAAAGGGAAGGTTTGCATGCCCACTGCCCAAGCTGAGGCAGCCTGTGTTTCTGGGCTCCTTCCAGTCACCCATACATACACCCAACAAACTGGGCACCTGCCATGTTCTATGGCCCAGACTAGGCCCTCGGAGTCCACTTGACCAGCAGAGCTGAACACACTTCAGAAAGTTACACGAGAGTGTCCTCGGTCCCTGGGTGGACAGATTCTGCAGGCCCTGCCAGCAGGAAAAGCTGGGTGTGCACCTTATTCACCATCCTCTGCCCCAAATTGAACTTGCCATACATGTTAACTTGAAAGAGACTAGAAACCTAAAAGTCATGTTATTCAAAGGCTATTCTGCCAACAGAAGCCCAGCAGAGGCCCCAAGTGCATCTCTAAAAAGCCTCACTCAGCTCCTTGCTGCTGCACTGTTCTCTGGGGGCACAAGGGAGGCAGGCAGGAAATCGGGCGCCAGGGTTCAGGACACTGGGTCCTGTGGCTCGACACTGATTGCAGGAAAAAGAGTCACTGGATTTCTGTGAATTCAGGACCCACAAGTCAGTCTCGGGTGAGCGGGGCAGAGTGGAGAAGTGCAGGCTCCCTCAGTGCCAGAAAAGAAATCCAGGCGATGGAATGTGCCCCTGAGTCATTTCCTAAGCTCTCAGCAGCCCTGAGGCTCCCAGGAGAGCCACCTTCACTGCCTTTGCTGGCTGGCATGGCTGCAGAAGGGCAAGACAACTTTTCTACACCAAACCATGTGCCCAGCAGAGCAAAGATGGGTATGCATGTATGCACACAAATACCCCTCCTGGCCTTGGCCACCCTCATCCAGCTTGCCTGCCATCTGTGGGGAGAGGACATGGTGTCCAGCCCAAGTGAGCCATGCCCACATGGGAGTCACTACATTCTACTCAGCACCTGGAAGATTTCTCTGCCACACCTCAAGGCCCTGTACCACCCACCCTCACAACCCACCATCCAGTGAAGATGAGGTCTACCTAGCCTCTAACTCCTTGGGTGTGGGGCTCCAGGAGGCAAAGATCCCCACCCCCAGTAGGAAGGGTCCCTGAGGGGTGGCGGCAGGACATATAGGTGTTATCCACCTTCTCCAGCAACCTCATGGGTTCCGTCTGAGGATGTCAAGGCTGGGCAGGGTCACAAAAGGCTGACCCAATCCTAGTTTCACAGTCAGAGAAAGCCCAGGAGGGGTAACAGGCAGCTGAACTGACATGGCTTGCCAGCAGCAAAGCCCAAGCCAAACACCCCCATTCCCAGGTACTATGCTCAACTTGCCCACTGCCCATGTCTCTCCCATCCCAAACCCACCCAAGCAGAACCAGGTTGCCTGCTCACCTCCACCCCCATCTCTTCCCTTACTTCTCTTAGCAGGAGGCTGAGTAAAGGAGGCTTCTAGGCTGCAGACCCAGGCCTGAGCGGCAAGCAGGACAGAGTGAAGTTAGGGTCTCACGATCAGTTGGCAGGGATTATGAGCACTGTCCCTATACCCCTCCAGGCTGGCTAGGTCTGAAATCATCTGAGCTGGGGGTGGGCAGGCCCACAAAAGAAGGGACCGTTTAACATGTGTGCATGAGCAAAAGAGACAGAGAAGAAGAGACAGAGAGATACAGATAGAGAGGCAAGACGCAGAGAAGGAGGGAGGGAGAATGCGCCTATAGGGGAATGGGGTACAGGGAGAGAGGCAGGGCAGGACAGCTGTGTAACCAAGGGCAGAGTCCACCTGAGTTCTCACCTGCCCCTCCCACAGGCACAGGAGAACTCTCTGTAAGGCCAGGGCTTGGGCTGAACTTGCTCAGGGGGCTGCTCCTCGGCACTGACTTGGTCAGTCCGAGCCTGCCCTCAGGAGGAGGCTGATGACTTGCTCCCCATGACCCCCAACTTCATAGCTGAAGTGGCCAGTGGCAAGAGAAAGCCAGAGAAGGAGAAGTTGTGACTTCCTGTGGGGCGGCAGAGTGGAGGTTTTCACACTGCCTGGGTTTCTAAGGAGGAAGAGCGGTGGGGGCACCAAGCATACAGGCCGGGTTTGCAAACAGGCAGGAAGTTTTCCTGGAGCAAAACCCGTCAAAACAGAATTCTTTCGTCGGGTAATATTTTCCTCCCTGCCCCTGTCACCCATGCTCAAACAGGTCTTGTTGTTGTTTTCATTAATCTGGGAGAGGAAATTGAGCCCCTTTCAGCAGAGACCTTAGGCGCCAAACCAAACCTCTCCACGGACCCTCCCAACCGGCTTTCCGTTCCCGAGTGGACAGGGCACGATGGAAAATTGCGGGTACAGACTCACTTCATGCTCCCTCGTGCTCCAGCTTACCAGCACCCAGCCACCCCTGCTCCGGCTTCCTGGGCCTCTGGCGGGGGGGGATGCAGTGAGTGCAGAAGGAACAGTGGTCTCCTGTCCCAGAAACAGCCAGCATCTACTGGGCACAAGAGGTGGGCCCAGCACTTTGCCTATATGACCAAATTTAATATTCACAACAACCTTCTGAGATCTGATTAGTCTCCCACATTTACACATCAAGAAATAGGCTCAGAGAGGTTGAGTAACTTGCCCAGAGTCACACAGGAGAGGGGGCATGGTAAAGATTCAAACACAGACCTATCTGATCCAAAATTCTTCCCATTCCACTCCATGGCCTCCCTGAAACTTCCCTGGAAAACAAATCTCATGCAAAGTTCAGGGTGGCTAGGGAGGCTTGCTGGCCTAAAATGGAATATCAGCACCTAAGAGCCTACCAGCCCAAGGGCAGGAGCTGACCACAGGGGCTGAACCCAAGTTGAGCATGCAGGCTAGCCTGAGGGCAGGTGGGAGGGGCCCAAGGCTTCTCAGGATGCACTTACCTTCCTGAAGCTTCACACTCTGGAGGTAGAGGGGGTTCCTCAGCACATTGCAGCGACCTGGCTCGTCCTCCTTGGTGAAGAGCAGCAGGTCCGAGTAGGCAAACAGTGTCACCTACATTGGGAGAAAGCGAACAGAACTGGCTGCGCTGCTGCCCCAGAGGCCAGGAGCCATGACTCCCCTTGGCAGTCCAGGTCCTTGTCATCTCAGGTAGAGTCTGGCCGGCAGTGAAACTGCCCCTTTGCTTTGCAGTTTTCTATACTGCCACTTCTCAGAGTAGAAAGATGTAGACAGAATAAAAATGACCTTCACCCTCCATGGCAGATGGCCCCCCACAAACCTCTCCATAGCCCGATCCTCTCACGGGCCCACATCTGGGACCAAACACCCCTGGACTCTCCAGCCCAGTACCCTGGGCTTGGAGTCACCCTTGAGCTGGGGGAAGCTCCACATTTGCTTATATTCACCTCAAAATATCTGGCTAAACAAGCACTGGACTTGGAATCAGAAGTCACGAGGCTCCAATTCTAACTTACCATGAAAAATTGGTTAAGTTCCCCGGACACCCACAGCCTCAGTCTTGTCATCTATGCAAACCGAGACAGTCCCTGCCCAGTTCTCTCCTTAGCTCCTTTCACAAGCTCTATGTAGACTGAGAACTGAAGCGTCATGCAATGGAGGAGGCATTATTACCAAATCCCTTGCGGGTAGTTCTAGCTGCATTAATGTGCAATCAGTTAAAAAAAAAAAAATAGCTAGTTACTTACGCTCCAATACAGACATGTACATAACTTTTATCTCTTTTATAAGTAGCTGCTCCAAAAATAAAGGAGAAAGCTATTTTTAGACATTATAGGTAAACAAACAGGCATGCTCAGCATATTTTTATGCTTAAAAAAATCTACTTGATCCCCTAAAGCCACTAAAGATTACACTGATCTTTGTTTTGCAAAGCCTACAGTGGTCTTTGGTCATAAGCAATAAAAGCCAATTTTAGGTCCTTCGAAGAAAGCAAAGTATTATTAATTGCATGACTTTCCTTTTCAGGTGTCAAAACCCAATACTTCACTTCTTTGAGAGCTGGCCAGGAGTACTTGGCATGTACAACTAAGGGCCACAGTGAGAGTGCACTGGGTTGTCAGTGAAGTTTAAAAAATCAGTATGTTGACATTTAGCTATCAGACCATTAAAGACGAACTACCAGCTCCACCTCTAAGACCCTGTACCACAGAAGCATATATAACCATCTATAAATAAGAACATACGAGGTGTTCTCAGCAGCATTTCTGCCATTGGAAAAGAAAGAATATAAATAACCATTAGAGAGAGTGAATACAATCCAGTACCCTGCCTTCATGTGGCAGAACTGCATGTAACCATTAAAAGAATAAAGGAGAGCTATGTGGGTAGGAATGAAAATCTGTCCATCACAAGTCAAAATAGTGCCATGTGCAAAAATACCTAGAGTAAAGCAAAATTATACATCTGCCTGTATTTAGACATTTTTTAAATGTCTAAGATACTCACTGCACTCTTCACTCTAGGAAATAGGATTTTACTTCACACTTGCTGCTTAAATTGTACTACTCTACAGTGGGAATCTGCTACTTTTGTAATTTCAAAATACATAAATCCTTTTTAAAGTACCACTTGGTTCTTGAGCTTAGTACAAACAGAGGTTTGAGGGAAAAAGAGGGTTTCAGGTTTGAGGGCCATAGACACAACAGGAGGCTCAGAGGCGCCCATGAGGGCTTAGGACCCTGAGCTGGAAGGCGTCCTGAAGGTGAGGCCAGCCAAGGCCCTTCTCACCACGGCCCTGTTCCAACAGAAGCCACTATTTGCTGAGGACTTACTTTCTGCTCAACAACAAACAGAAATCAACACTGAAGACAATGGCATCATTGACCTTTTTACAGAGGAGAGCCCTGCAGCTCAGAGAGGTGGACTGTGACGTGTCCCAAGGTGAAGTGAAGTGTCCCAAGATGCACAGTCAGGGACCATTGCCTAGTGTGAGACCCGAGTTCTCTGTATAGGAAAAGGCAGCACTACAACTACTGCTGTCTTTTCCTTGAATGCGAAAGACTCTGAAGAGGCACTAAAAAGGAGGCCAAAATAATGAAGAAAATGATCCAAGAGCTGAGAAGGACGTGAGAAGCTGGTTGTCTGAGGAAAGACTTCAAAGTCCAAGCAGTGAAAGGGAGAAGGTTCTAAACTAGCTCAGCACAGGCAAATCCTCAGGCGAATCCCTGACCCACTCAAGGTTAACCTGTTAGTCACCTCCAGCCCCACAGGGAAGCTGGCAAGGGAAGGGTTGAGGGAAACAGTCTGTCAGGAGCCTAAGAATTCAATAAATGGCCCAGAGCTGGATGGATGGCAAATAGGGAAAAGCCAGAGGCAAAGTGAGAAAAGTCCCAAGCCCATGCCCTGGCCTTGATTTCCAGAGCTGAGAATGAGGTCTAGACAGGAAGTGATTAAAGCCTGAAGGAAGAATTTTCCCAAAGGTCCGGTCAGGGAAAGGGCAGAACTGGCACACAGCAGGAGACAGAGCAGAGGGGCAAGTGTGCTGGGGAGGGTCAGGGGGACCCCTCTTCCATCTCACCAGCATCCTGCTGGCCTGAGTCCAGCAGAAGCCACAGCAGCCCACAGTGGAATGATGTCCATCTTCATGCCACCTTCACAACAGGCCAGGGAGACCGCCAGGTGTCTTCCCCATACTTGCTCCTTGGAAACATCTGTTTTCCAAAGGACCCTGGGTTGCAGGATTGCTTGGTAAGGAAATCCTTGCAACTTAGAGGGTCACTCTCAAGTAGCCCTAAGCAAGCTTCCTCTTGGGAATCCCGCCCAGGGCAGGGCTGGCAGAAAAGACTTTGGTGCCTTAGTTAATGGTAAACTCAGTGAGACAAGTAAAAAGTGAGGGCGTGTCTAACTTGGGGCCCACAGTACTCCTGAAAGCTCTAGCACAGAGTCAGTCTTCGTTGGAGAAGTTCAGTAACTATTGTTTCCATGTATAAATGAGGTTGCTCCAAAGTACTGATTTGATCTCAGGACACATTAATCAAGTGACTTCTAGGAGGGGGGTGGCTGGATCACCTCATAGACTGGATCAGCTCACAGACATTAGCACACTGGACAAGGAACCAAGAGGGAACATTCCAGGAATAAAGAGTTCTGATGAGCATTAGGGAAGACTTTATACAATTTAGGTTGCTTCCATTGCCTGGCAGGGCTGCCCCTCAGACTCCAGAACTGGCTGGAAAACCACTGGTTGGGAAGTTACAGGGAAGCAATTAGAAGAGATAACTCCTGAAGGCCAACCAACACTCAGATTCTACCATCTTAGCCAAATCCCCCTTGAATTTGGTTTATCTTTTTTACCGGAATAACATGACAGGATAGCAAGAACCACATATTTGCTTCCTAGTATACTTCAAGGAAAAAAAGTCTTGATTTTCCTTGATTTCAAATTATTTCTTTCCATCTCCAAAAGGGGGTCTCAGTTCCAAGGCCCCAGAGATCCAGTAGGCAAGGATGTACTGAACAGACAGGAACTGTCATCAGCTCTGGCTTCTGCTTGCGGTTGCTCGTTTGTTTTTAACAAACATGCCAGAGGCAGCATGGAGCATGCAAAGAGCTGAGCCAGAGAGCTGGAAACTGGTCCTAGGTTTGTCCCTTGCAATCCTGAGATTCTCAGGCCCCAGTTAATCTCACTGGAGACTCAGTTTTCTCATCTCTACAAAGGGGACAATTGTGCCACTCGTGGGATGGTGGGAGGAGCTGTAAGAGCTAATTGGGATCAAGTCTATAAAATGCATGCACAGTGAGGATACCCAATAAGTGCTCAGTGTTCGAAGGCTTAATGGTGAGGGGACAAACAAAAGAGGAGATTGAGACTTCGGTGAATGTTTTGGGGTGCCTGCCATTGCTAAGTGCCTTCTTCTGAGTCTGGTGAATGGACAATCACACCACACTTTCTGACCCTCAGCCAACAGATTTAGATCTACCACACACTTATCACCAAGTACAGCTCCAAATGACTTCTTGTTCCTAAAACTCAAATGCCCCCTTCGTTCCTGCAGAGGTTATTCAGAAGACGTGCCAAGGCCCTTGAGAAAGCACCCATCGAAGAGGCCCAGAGCAATGCCAGCATGGTGGCAATCACCCTGAAGTGTTCCCAGGGAGCTCTCCTGCAAGAGACAGAGCTCATCTGGAATAGATGAGTTCTGGCTACTGGTAGAAAAAGCAAGAGCAGCCATTTGTGTTCACCACAATTCAACAGAATGTCCCAGATGCTAAGGCTGGAAGGGCCCTTAGGGGTCAGCCAACCTCCTGCCCTGCCCTTGCTACACACACACACACAGTTGAGATGAGAAGACTGAGAGAGAAAGGAGTCATGGCTATCTGTTTCCCACCTCCCAGTTTCCTGATCTTTCTGTCTCACCAAGCTGCCACTCAGCTCAGCCAAACCCCATTGCCAGCTCTGAGTCAGTATCTGCTCTGCAGCAAGCTCTCTCCTCTCTTCAAGGCCCCAGGTAGACAGCTAGACCTCAGGGTACAGTGTCTATGCCCAAGGAGCCTCCAGCTCATGGGACTGCACTGGCACGTGGCCAGATCTAAGACTGTGGGTGAGTGAAATCACACACACACACACACACACACACACACACACACACACACACACACACGCTGTCAGAGATAAACTGGGGCCAGCTCCCCGGAGGAATGGCATAACCTCTGCACCTGGCCTGCTCTTGGCAGAGGTGGAGTCCAGGAGCAGTCATAGACTTATTCCTCAGAAGAGGATTTGATTTAATACAGACCCAGAAGACCCAGGTAACTGGTGCCGCTCTCAAAAGTCTCTTTGGCTAACAGGTCTGACTTTCTCTTCTACAAAACCACTCATCACAACAGGGGTAAATGGCCACCTTTTTCTGCTCCTTAGAGGAAGTTGGGATAAACAGTGGGATGTCTCTAGGGGTTGAGAAAATTTTCTAGCCATCAAAAATAAGCTAAACAGCTTTGAGAGGTGGCAAACTCCCCATCACTGGCAATGTACAAGAAAAGGCTGGGAAGCCATTGGTAAGGACAGTAAGGAGGGGGGTGGAAGGCCATTTGGGTCTTTTCTGCCCTGAGACTATATGATTCTAAGACCATGAGGAAGAAAGCAGAATTAGGGGACAAGAGAGAGGGGCACGCAGTCCACCAGGGAATTCTGCGGGGAGCACACGTGAGTCTTACCTCGGCAGCCTTGTTCCTCCCTTCGTACAGCAGCAGCTCTTCTGAGAGTAGGAGGGTCCGGGCAGGGTTACAGAGATCTAAGGGCTGAGAACAAGGGGGGCAGTTCAAAGAGGCCTGATGGAGCTGGTAGGGAGAGAGGAGGTAGTTTGCCAAAGTTGGCCACTGATAACCTTCTAGAAGATGCTCCCCCTACCTCAAGAACCCCAACACAGATGTAAACAGAAAGACGGACACTGTGCAGAACTGTTGCTGTCACCTTCCCCAGCAACCCTCACCGTGATAGCTGCACTCTCTGGCAGGAAGTCCAACCACATGTTTAGGCCCTTGCAGTCCCCCCGCCCCCCCACCACCCCCTTTAGCTCCCAGCCCCCATACTCCCTCATCTTTCCTGTTCATGCCTGGCCTAAAGGTCCCCGCTGTCAGGTCTGGGCTCTCAGGATACCGCCAACAGTGCCGGATTTGGTCAAAGAGTACCTTCGAGGCTATGTCAACCCCTGCTCTACATTCATAACACACTTAACAGGCCCCATCTCAGTCATCAGTTCCCAGAGGCTAATTCTCACCCATACCTCTCATACCATCTCACTGTCCTGCCCCCTAACCACCGAGGAGCCTGTAGCTCCTGCTGAGCCTCATCTAGCGAAAGCTCTGGATTCCTAAGCTCTGGACCACTCGGCAAGACTTCTCGGGAACACACATTTACCAACTGGCTTCTAGGTATCCTACACCAGGAAGGTGCCAGAAGAAAGAGAATGAGACAAAAGTCAGCTACACACAGCAACCTGGATGGATCTTACAAATGGTGAGACAAAAGGCCAGGAAGAGTAGACAGAGCATGGGCCCATTAAACAATGCCAAAAGAAGGTCAAATGGGACTTGTCATTTATAGGAAATCACACCCAGATGGTTAAATGAAAGAAAAGCCAGGAAATGGTTATCATCAAGTCAGGCTGGTGGCTACGTCTGGTGGGAGGAGGGCATTACTATTGAGGAGAGAGAGTCAGGCTTCTGGGGTTGTGCAACAGCAAATGCTTTTATCTTAGCAGAGAGCAGCTTTATCATTATCTATTGAACTGTATGTTCGAGTGTCATACCATTGGTGGCTGATATATTTGACAATTGAAAGGTTATAACTTTTTAAAAGCTAATTTTAATTTTTTATAGATACAGAAGTGAAAATGAGCATGAACCTTATGGATGCCAAGATCTTTGTGTTCCATCCTAGGAAAGGCCAGGCCCTCCTGAGGGAGGTGGCTAGAAAGAGGCGTATCACCTGCTGGATCTTAGTTGTATGCAGAAAAGAGTGAGCTCTAAAATCCATGGGATGGATTTGGGATGGCCCAAGCTGTGGGTGCCAGGGAGACCAGAGAAAGACCCGACGGTCATGCTGCTGCTGAGAGTCTGAAATAATAGAGTTGTTCTGGAAGCAGTTTGCAGTATGTAGAAAGAGTCTTTAAAATGTTAATGACCCCTGACCTGGTCATTCCACTTCCAGAGATCTCTCCCCAGGAAAACAATTGGAGAGGCAATACATGTACACACACTGTCATCACAGAAGTAGACAGAACATACATGTCTGAATAAAGAACTGGTTCAGTAAGTATGGCACATCCATAGACCAGAATAATGTGCAGCCCCTACATAACACAGATGCAAAGAATCCTAGACCATGTGGGAAGTGTTCATGGTGTAGTCTTGGTTTAAAAAAGGCAACAGGATAGAAGATGCACTATAAGACCCGTTTGTTTTGTTCTGTTTTATGTGTGTATTTGCATCTTAATATGCAGTCTTAAACATGTAATATGTTTTTGTTTTGTTTTTTAATATGTATATGTACAGAAGAGACTGGAAATGTTTTACACAGATTATATCTGGGTGATGGAATAAAGAAAGGTGATTCTAAGGAGAAGGGGCACTGGGGAGAAGAAGAGAGGGAGAACAGAAGAAGAGATCTGAATGAATACTGGCCAGACCTGTTCACTGAGACCAAGGAGATCAGACAAGATGCCAGCTCGAGATTCTCCCTTGACCAACAACAGGCCGCTGACGGGCCAGGAAGCAGGAGCCTTGGCAAACAGGCCTTGTGATATTATAACATGCAGCTGTTGTGTGGCTGGCCTGTCCCCAGAAAAAGGGGAGACTGGTGGATAGGTAGGAGAATCCCCTCATGTCTGGGCTTCCCTGTTTCTCCCCCTGGAAACTTCTGTTCCTCCAGAATCCTGAGTCCTTGAAGCTATCTGTGTTTCTTATCTGCAGTGGAGGGCCCTCAGACCTGGAATGACATGTCATCCCTGAGTCCTGGGGTGAAGGGCACCCCCTTTCTCACCTCCTCTTGAAGGAACCCTTGGGGTAAGTCACCAGCTCACCTGAACAAAGACAGGGAATACCAGGACCTTGGGGGCGAGGGTGACGTAGGTTCCATAGCTTGAGTGGGAGGTATGCGGCCTCATGACTGGGCAGTTCTGGTAATTCCCATGGCCCTTCACGGTCTGCACCGTCTTCATCAGCCTGGACTTCTTCCCCAGGCCCGTGTAGGACTTTCCTTTAGTAGGGCTCCCTGATTCTGTGGAATAGAGATCAATTCCATAAGGCATTTCTATCACCACTGCAAAAGCACCCCCTCTGCAGAATGAGTACACATTCAGGGGAATCCCCATGTCAGTGGTAAGCCAGGGCCTGAGCAAGGTGCTGAGAACACAGGCCCACTGCAGAAGAGTCTCAGGCCCTAGAGAATCCCCCACACTCCTACAGGAGCTACTGACAGCCCAGGACAGCAACTCCTGCCTAGGACGGAGCTGGGAACCACCCAATTAAAGGAGCCGGCATCCCTATTTGGTGACTCAGGGTCTGATTCAGTTTGGTCTCATACTTCTAGAAATCAGAAAATCTTTCAGATTTAAAAAATCAGAAGATATGACTTCCCGGGCCCACAGTCCCCCAAAGAATCAATCAGAGCAGAGCAGCGACCGTCCTATGTGGCAGAGCGTGCACTCCTTTTGCCACCGCGCCACCATCCCCTGCACATGCCCAGCAGAGCCACCGATCCACAGCCTCCAGGGCCCCATGACAAAGGACTGGAGACCTGTCCCTGTAGTGGCAACAGACACCAGGCTTTCCCATGATGTATCAGGGCCTACCCTCTGCTAGCCACAGAGCTAGAGCAGCCTGGCTCCAAAGCAAGTCAACGCACAAAAAGGAATCATAGCTGCTGCTCCAGTCTCTGGAAAGAGCACCAGCTCTGGAGCTAAAGGCTGAGCCCAAATCCCACTCTGCTTGCTAGCTTGTGGCCTCGGGTGACTCACATCCCCCTCTGAGTCTGAATTTGCTCAACTGCAACATCAGTGCCAGCTCCTGGGGCTGCTGTGAAGACTGCATGATACGCTCCAAGGAAAGCCCTCAGGACAAGACCTGGACACCGGTCAGTGAGCTCAGACTTTGTGTGATTCTTGTCATTGTGGGGCCTCCACTGGGAAAAGAGGTGCATCAGGTGCCCCGAGGCAGCCTAGGAATCCTCGGGAATCACAGCTAGGAGGTACTGCCAGCTTGGCCACCAAGTCACAGATGATTCCAATCAGAAAAAGGAGGGAGGGAGGAAGAGGAGGAGAAAGACAAGAAGAGAGAAAAACATCCCCAGGGAAAGAGCAAAAGGCTGCAGTGGCAGGGGTGGCTTACAGGTCTTTATCACATCTCATCCTGGGGGCAGAGAAGCAAAACACAGCGTAGCTAAAAATCAGGGATTCCCAAGCAATCAGGCTGCTCACGTACCTGGGCCCCACTCTGAGGACTCCTGCTGGCCAGTGTGTCATTGACCAGCCCTCCCTGACCTGGGTGCCCAGTTCAGGTCTCCTCCTGCCTTCCCTCCTACCCCTGGCAGCCAGGGGGTGAACAGGAGACATGACCCCCAACTACATCTCGGGGAGGCTCCCCACCAACGCGAGGTCCATGGCCTCAGAAGAAGCTCTCAGCTCAGAAGGTTTCATACTTGCTTCCTCCGCCCACCTCATGCCCCTTCTCACCCAGTAGGGTGAGAAAAACAAGTCGACTCCCCCGACAAGTGACCACCGATCACAGCTGCATCTTGGGGCAGTGCTCAGACCATAGTCACATAAACCACTTCCTGCCTGTTTTAGAGGAGCAAAAAGAGCATGAGCCCAGAATGGGGCAGTAAGGCAGGTGCAAGAAGTCGCTCGGGTCCTCATCAGGTCAGGCCCAAGCATGAGCTCAGGCCCCTCCCTTTGCAGAAAGAACCCATGCTGGGTCTCCAGAGTCACACTAAATTGGAGTTGGACGTGACCCCTGAACTTGAGCACTGGCATCCCCAGAGACTTGCTGTGCAACCCTGAACAGCTTCCTTCCCCCTCTCAGCCAGAGTTCTGCAAAGTGGAGACAACACAGGTCACTGCCTTATAGGTGGGAGGCTCACAAAAGAGACCTGATAGGGAAGGGGTTGGTGGATGGTTCCAGAGTATAAGTGCATCAGGGATTATTACAAACCCCAAGCCAATGAAAAATCCACCCTTTGGGGCTGCATTAGGACAGGGCTACTGAGCCCTAAGCCATAGTGCAAAGGGGGTTACAGGGCCTGGAAGTCAACAATCTACTTTAACATGGCCTAATAAGGTCAGAAAAGGCAAAACCACACAGGATGACAAGCCAGGGACAGAGGCAAAATAAACCACAACAAAGAGGAAAGTTACTGTTTACTGATACTGGAATCAGGCCCTGTGATGCCCAGGTACAGGGCTTTCAGAGAATCCATTCTTGCCCTGCCCTAGCCCAGCTCCACTGGCTGTCATAGATCTTCACCTTGGCCCAAAAGAGTCATGAATAGACCACCGGACACACACCTCTGCTTTAGACAGCAGAAGTCTTCTTGGCCCTATTTCATAGACATGGCAACTGAAGCCTAGGAAGTCTGGGTGACATGTCCACGGTTATTTGGGCAATAAAGACTATAAGACAGGTTCAACCCAGGCTTTGTGGCTCTCCCACCCTAGTGCCCCATCTCCATAAACACTAGGACACTCTGGACAATGGGTACCTTTGGGTGTGGCTCTGCAAAACACATTTTTGAAGTTTCTTTTTAAAAATGGTCCAGGTTGCAACGCAGCTACTGAGCTCTGTGAAGGAAAACACCTTGACTTCCTCTCTTCCCCCACACTCTGCCTTCTTATTACAAGCTCTGGTCCAAACCCCCACCTCACCCTTTTTTACGCTAACATCTGCTTCACTGACAAAACACAGTAATTACTCAGCTTTGCTCCAGCTTCCGAGGTGAGCCCTGGCAGTCATCCCACCCGGCAGTGGCAAATCTGAGGTCAGACTGACCTCACAGGGCAGGGGACAATGCCGAGGGCCCCAGGGGCCCCAGGAAAGATGCCAACCACAGGCCAGTAGGTGCCCCAGGGCCCAGAATGGCACCAGAACTTATTCAACTCAAAATGGTTCAACGCCCCCTCCTGAAAGGAGGTCAGGCAGTCCAGACAAAGTAGGGGACAGAAATTGGCACCCTTGTGACAGACATAACCTCTGGAGAACCCCCAAGTATGTCTAAGTCCTGTGTGGACCTCCCTGGTGGCACAAGGAGTTAAATCTCAGCACTATCAGCTATCGTCAGCCACTGCAGCAAAAGTTTGATCCCTGGCCAGGGAGCTAACCCACATGGCACGGCAGGCCTCTCCTGTCTCGCTTGCTACTCCCCTCAGCAGTGTATTTCAGCATATCCACCTGTTTTGCTCCCCACTCTGTCTCTGGTGAATTCTCTTACCCCCACCCCAACCTCACACCTCTGGCCTATACCCCAGCTCTTAGATGCATAAATAAATCTTAATAAAGGAAGTCCTGTGTCCTGAAGTCCACCCTCTCTCTCTCTGAACCCCAGAGCTGTGAAGATTTGATCCTGGTAAAGAGCAAAGATGTCCTTGGGTAGCAGAATACACAAAGTACAGTGAAGATCTTAATACAAAAAAGGCTACTGTTGCTGCAAACATCATCATCCTCTCCACCTTGTCAACTCCCCACCCCTGCGACTTAGATATCTGTCCTTCTTGGTTCACTAAGTACTGTATCCTCAGAGGGGAATCAGAACATGTATCCAGGTTGGGAGAGTCCCAGGGGAGATTGGTGGCATCTCTTAGGCTGAGAGAAAATCAATCCCTGACCTCTAGGCCACTGCAGACATGCTCCAGCTCCCTTCACACACTGTGTTCTGCAGCCCTCAGAGGCTACCGAAGTCATTCTCCTTCTATCACTCAACTGAAATGCTACTGTACATGTGTCTTTCAGGCTCTGGGTCCAGCACTGGATCCACAGAAAGAAGCCGGCCAGGCCTTGGCCTTCATGAAGTCACCAGTTAGCAGTGGCATTCCAGCCTGGCCTAAAAACTAAGGGTGTTTTTATAAGCTCACTAAGGAATCATTCTCAGATTTCTCCTCAAAAGGAACACCCATTCATTTCCAACAGACCAGGCCCAGCTGCTCAAATGACCAGCCTGGAGAGAACAACGATGTCCCCCATCAGCAACTTTGAGCTCCGTGACCCCAGAAGGCACAGGCAGGCTTCCAAGCACCTGCTACAAACCATTCACTGCAAGTCTTCACACTACTGCCCGAGGGAGACAATAAGGGAGGGGCTGCAGGTGGTCTGTCAAGGCCGGAGGCCAAATGGCACTGGGAAGGCACAGAGGAACATCAAGCCCACCCAATGTGGCCATCATGGACCACCTGGCAAGGCTGGTCTAAACCTCCCAGACACCAACGGGAACCAGGGGTTTGGAGGGCCTGAAGGAATGCGAGCCCGCTCCAGCATCAAGACTGAGCTCTCCAACTTCCAAGAGGAGGAACTGCTTTTGAGCCCAGCTTCTCTCCCTGGTCCTTCAAAAAGAGACTCAGGATTTGAAGTCAGGAGGAGAAGAATCCATGCAAACAGCGGAGATATCCATGTGTTTCAAAGACAACTTCCCTCCCTCTGTCTAGCTCTCTCTGGGTAGTCACTAGTCATTATCTCCTCGAATTCTCCCTCAACCCTCCGAGGTGGGAAGGATCAGTCCCATTTTACAGATAAAGAAACAAGGCTCAGGGAGGTGACATGAGTTGTTCAAAGTCACACGGCTAGAACTCCAACCTGAGACCTTCCAGCTCCAAATTCCATTCCCCCGTCCTTGCAGATCTGCCCACGTGCCTACAGTACTGACTGCTCAGCAAATCGGATTGAAAACCTAAGTCCTAAACAGACCATCTCTTAAACTACCCTGGTCACAGCCCCTCTCTGCCTTCTTAGTTCAGGCTCCAAGGAAGAAAGGTCTGGTTCAGGGAAGGAGAGGAGATACCCAGTGTAAAGAGTAGGGGTTGTTGACCCTGTGACGAAGGCCTCTGAAATCAGAGGGAGAGGCCAGGCCCAGCCTCCCAGCTACCTCTCACCATCCCCACCTGGTTGGAAGGCACAGCAGAAGAGGGTAGACTCACCTTCAGGGATGGCATCCTCCTGGTACACAGGCCGCAGCAGCTGCAGGAGAGACAGGAGAAGCTCAGCCCCAGCAACAGGGTGGGACCACCAGGAGGGCTGCTCCCCAGGGCTGGTCTAGGCCTAGGAAGAGAGCCTCTCAGGGCACCAGGGCAAAGCAGCAGCACAGCTGAGGGGGAACTTGGAGGGAACACAGAATCCAGAATCCTAGGTTGAAAGCGACTTTAGCTGTCATCAAGACTAACCCTAGGTCCCCAACTTCCTTTATGGCAGCTTGTTCCAAAGTGTGTCCCATGGAACACGGGCATTGTGGGATGCTAACAACCTGCCAGAAAGGTGGCACCATCAGGGAATTTTGGGAACTGCTCACTTCAACAATTCTAAACCACCTTTCACAGCAGGATGCCCTCAGAGCCTCGGGTGAACGTGCGTTGGAAAACTCCCAGAAGGGGAAGAAAAAGGATATTTCTCAAATGTATCTGGCATCAGAATACTTCTTTCCCGGAGTAGCTCATGGGAATTATTTCAGGGCCCGGCATTCTGTCCTCCCGCCATCATCACATGGTGTCCGTTTTCAAGCCCGCTATGACAAGGCTCACTGCCCAGCATGGCACAGACAGGCAGAAAGTTCATCCTTCTTCTGAGCTGAAATCTCCAGCCCTGTGGCATCCCCTGGTCCTGGATCTATGCCCTGAGGCTTACAAAAGTCCATCTGCTTCTCTCTACCCAGCACAGCCCTGCAGAGGCAGGGGCGTTCACACACACCCCACCTCCTGCCAGTACTCCTGAGTCCTTGCAGGCTCCTCCAAACACATTTTGAGTATTCGCAACTTCCTGGCTTCACCCAGGGACCTTGCCCTCGACCTTTCCAGATCTATCCTTACCTGGCTCCCAGGGTTCAGCGGGGCCAGGATGATGTAGTTGGGGTCAGTGGGGGCCGTGGCCCGGGAGAGTGCAGGCAGGGTGTGCTGGCCCCCACGCTTTGTCACCTCCGAGTAGCGCTCCCAGCCACCCAGCAGCAGCCCGTCTGAGCTGTCACACACCAGGTGGCAGCTGTGGCGCTGCTCTGGCCGGGCCTGGACACCATGGGTGCAGTTCTTCTCCCGTTTGTTGGGGGGTGACTGGAGGTCATGCGTGGACTTGCAGGAGGCCCGTCGTAGGACGCCGCCGTCAGGGCCCGGCTTCACCTGGGGGACCATGCGCCACACGAGCAGGATGATCTCGCTAGGGCAGCTCCTAGAAGTTGGGGGGTAGGGGTCACATAGAGAAATTGAGTCTGAGGGAGACCAAAGTCAGCCAGGGTAGGGTCTATGGGGGAAGAGAAGTGTAGGGGAGCCAGGGAAGCCCCCAGGGAGGAAGGACAGGAAGGGATGTAAGAGGGTAACTGAAGTAGTCAACGAGGGGTCCCTTACATCAACTCTAAATGACAGGCAGCGGCTGAGAAGGACACCGAGGCCAAGGCCAGCTTAAAAAAGAAAGAATCCTGATCTCAACAAGTGATGTCTGTCACAAGCAAAACATAAGCAAGGAGGAGCAAGCCAGCTGCCTACGTGCAACCCCTCATCTCAGCATCCTAGAAGCAAACCTAAAAAGGGCCTCAAAAGGCTTTACCCCAGTGGCCAAAATTTGGGGCACCCAAACATTTTAGAGAATAACTTTTTTAATTGTGCGACTGAAACCTTGGCAACAGCTATACATTCTTAATGAACAAACGGCTTAGTGCTGAGGTGACAGAAACAATTAGCTAGCTGGAAAGCGACCCCCTGGAGATGCATCATGCACCACAGGGTTTGTCTGAGAGCTTCTTCCCCTGCTGTTTGCCCTGGGATCCAAAATTGCTCTGAGCCTGAACCTTCCATTTTCAGGCCAAGAAACTGATTCCCTGGGGAGCTGAGTGAATTGCTCACAGCTGGGCAATGGAGGGAAGGGCAAGAGCAGGGGGGAATAAGGCTGTGCGCCCAGGCAGGGGTGGGAGGTGCACCCGCTGCCCCCTGTCACCGGATCTCGTGTGCCAGCTCCACGCATTTCCAGTGCTCCACAGGCCTCTCGTTCAGCTGCAGCACCGTGTCCAGCTGCTGCAGCCCTGCCCGCTCCGCTGGGCCTCCTGCAGGGACAAAGGAAAGTCGCTCGAGGGCTCGTGGAGTCCATGGCCCTCGCCAAACACCCGAGCATTTTGCCTCAGCAGTGACCACAAACCAGGACTGCCCTCTTGGTTTCTGCATCTGTGCAATGCAAGGCCAACTTGGCAGGGCTTAGGGGCCTTGATGAGAGGTGCCTCATCCCCACCTGCCTGACTGCTGTCCACCCTCCAGCTATCCTACCTTCTGTCCCCAGGACCCCCCCAACCCCCTTGACAATGCGTCCATGTTGCCAGACTGCCAGACTCACAGATTCATTCATTCATTCAGCATCATTCATTGATGCCATCCTCAGGAGCGGGGACACCCAGATCACGGAGCCCTGGCTTCCCTTAGTATGTTCACTCTATGATCAGAAGTCTTTTTTGTGTGACAAATAGGGAGGGGGTCACTAATGTTAAATGCTAATCAAACTTGGAATAAGCTAAAACACCCCTTCCCAGGAGAGTACATAAGCAACTCTCACTTTCCCATGCAGCCATTACTGAAAATATAGATTTAGTTCCTGTTTGAAGTGATTGGGAAACAAAACATAAAAATCTATTTTCATTTTGATAAAAGCAAAAGGGAGAGGTGGGTATATCTTGATAAACCTTAGTTTCATCTATGGTTATTTAAAAATATTATTCTTATTGTTTTGAAAAGCCAGGACACTTGGCTCCAGTTTGGGGTTCCCCTTTCAGCTCCAGTCTTGTTCACAAAGCCCAGGTGTGTGGCAGGAGAGGCTGGTGTCCCGGAGACACTCACTTACCAGAATCCACGGCCTGGACTCGGACGGGAGAGTCGCAGCAAATAGTGAAGCCAAAGCCATCCTTCCCCCTCGGGATGGTGATCTAGGACACAGTTCCGCCAGTTACTCCCAGAAGCGCAAAGCACCTCTGCTCTAGGGCTGGCAGCCCAGAGCCACCCCCTTTCTAAGGGAGCTGGAGCCAAGGAGGAGCCAGCCCCATGCTGTCCCTATCTCGACACAGGCGTGTTGGGCACTAGCTTGTGAGCCAAGCAGGAAAGCCAAGTGCTCAGGAGGTAAGCCCAGGCGGTGTGGGAGGGCCCAGGGTAAACACATAGGTGGCGTTGGAAGAGTGGACCTCACCATCCTCAGCCCTGCAGACACACGCAGTCCAGCCCTTTACCCAAGGGCCCACTGGAACCGCTCATCCCCACCTCGCCTGTATCCACTGTCTGCCATGGCCCTTCCTCTTTGCTCCCAGAAGTCTATAGCGCATCCACCGAGGGCTGGCCCTGTGCTGAGGTCCAGAGATGAAGCCCACCAGGTTGTTCCTCTACTGGAGCAGAGGGGAGGGAAGACAGGCACACACACACACACAGCCTTAGGCCAAAAGCGAGGGAGGGGCAGGTGCAAGGTGTCAAGGCATCCAAGGAGGACTGCCAGGTGAGGGAGCAGGGACAGGCACAGATGGGCCTCCAGGCTGAACCTCATGGGGGGCCCTTGTACACAGCAGGTCCATACCCTTCCTTTCAGAAGTCCCCTGAAAGAGCCTTCTGTCTAGATTCCCTTTGCAAAGCACCACATACTTTGTGAGCTCCTGCTGCATGCCAGGCTCTGCTGAGGCCTTGGCCTCTGGCTCTCAGAGGACCTGGGGAGGGTATGCAGGCCTCTCCAAAACAAAGCAAGACATGACATGACAAGCACTGAGCAGAGCCTGTTCCTGAATTGGGAGCAGTGCTTAGTGTTTGACTTTGAGGGGCAGGCTTGGTGCGGGACAGGAACTCAGCGAGTGTCAGTGAATGAGGACGCTGGCAGCATCCTGGCAATAGCAAGAAGCTGCAGCCGCCCTGTGTGGTCTGCTGGCTCAGTTCAGATCGGCCTTGCTGCATTGCCCTTCTGTGCCCATTTAGGTTCTGGGTAGGGTGTAGACAGCCCTGTGCCTGGCCACCCAAACAACAATCATGGGCTGCTCAGAGATGTTCTATGAGAGCAAAAGATCTAAGGGAGCACAAGGGGCTCAGTGGGGTCCCAGGAGACATGCAAGAAGAGGTGGGGTGCAGCATGATCCCGGGTGAGGTATAGGGAGGGCGTCCCAGTCAGCTGGGAGAAAGTCGAGGGCCGCCTGCCTGGTCAGGAGGCTTCCTATAAGGCTTGTCTCTTCAAGGCTGGGCGCCTGGCCTTCACCTGCCGGCTCTCCCAAAGGCCAGGCCTGAGGAAGGGGAGGGCCCCTTGGAAGCTGCTGGGGAGGCCCCTGAGGCTCTGCTTCCCACCAGCCCTGGGCCTGGATTCAAAGCCAGTTTGTAAAACAGGAAACCTGACAGACAAGGGGAGAGAGGAGGGGGCAGGAAAATACCCTGTTCCCATAAGAATTCTGGGAAAACACATAGCTAAGACAGGAAAAGGAAAAAAATGGAAAGAAAGAAAGAAAAACAAACTCTGGAGTGAGTGCGGAAAGCTCAGCCTGAGGCTGAGGGAAGATGTAGGGAGCCTGGTCGACTCCATGTGACCAGGAGGGATTTAGGGGGCCTTGCAACCCACCCCTCCAGACAAGCAAAAGCTGGGATCCCAAAGTTACTTTGGTACTTCCCCCGGCCATCCCATCAAGGGGCCAGAGCCACTCTGCCTGGGTTGCCAGCTCAGGACATAGGCCTGAGCTGAATCTGGAGCAGGTTGTGTGCCAGCAAAGCACACTGGCCCCTCAGCCAGGTGGGACAGTGGCCTAGAGCCCACTCTGTCTTCCTGGGCACCAGGAAGCTGGAGGCTGGGCAGGAGGGAAGAAGAGAAGGTGTCAGGAAGCAAGCTCCTCTCCTGTTCAGCACGACAGGGTGAGACGGTGTGAAGGAAGCAGAATTATCCTATGTCTGCCATGATCACTGATCACCCGAGGACAGTGTCCCAAGAACCCGACCATCACCTAAGGGGAATGCAGGGCTAGTTTCAGTGTGCTCGCTGGAGGCCTGCAGAGAGGAAGTGGTGGCCCCAGCTCTCAGATGAACCTTGGGCCTCTGGGTCGGGAGGTGAGGTAGCGGCCCTGCCTTTATTCAGAACTTAGCGGCTCCTGACAGGGGCCATCCTTCTCAGGGGGTGGTTCTTGCTCTTTCCTGTCCCAGGCAGGAACTGCTACTGCTCCCAGATCTCACCCCCACCAGCACCTCACTTTTGCCCTCCTGCCTGGCTCTGGTCAACCACCATTCCTAGACTTCTACCCCAACCCCTCCCTGCCACCATTTGTGAGCACTTCTGTATGCACAGATCAGGCCCTGCGCTGGGCACATCAGACACCAAATTCTGTTTATGGTCTCAGCATCATCACTGGGCATTATCATCCCAATTCACTGTCAGGGAGACTGAGGCCCAGGGAGATAAAGTTATATTCTCAACAGCCACAGCTCAAGAGAAACAGGGCTGGGTTTGAACCCAGAATCAACAAAAACTGGTGCTCTCAACCTGTGCTGCTCTCTGACCCAGGATCTATCTTGAACTTGAGCCTCAGGCCTAGCCCACTCCTATTCCACTCTGACTGCCTCTGTGCCCTGGTCTTCTGGCCCACAGTCCTAAGGTGGCCAAGCACCTCTAAACCTCCCAGCCATGGCACGCTCTGCCTCACTGTTCCGTTACCCCGTCACTGGTGTGGCACAGATGCTCTGCCTGCTTCAGGAGGGCAGGAAGGGCAGAGTGGGGTCGCAAAGGGGCGGGAACTGAGAGACAGGGAGGACGGCAGGGAGAACATGCCGGAACCATGGCTCAGGGCAGCAATGCCGCAGTGCAGGAAGCCGCCCTGGGCATCTCCCTGGGACCTAGACTGCTGATCAGAAAGAGTCAGGCTCCAGATTCCAGTGTGGACATTCAACCACGCAAAGGAACATTTCTGTACTTCTAAAATCAGGACCCTTTCCGAGCTCTCCTCCGGTATGCACATTCCACAAACCTGAATATCCCTTGCCTTCACCCTCCCTTTTTGTAAAAAGAAAAAAAAAAATTGTTCACCAAAATTCTAGAATAGTCTCAGAGGCTACTCAATCACCACTCCACTCTGCCCCACACGCCGAGACTGGAGGCAGAGAAGCCAAACCATCTCAGTGAAGTTGCGCTACAAACGCCAGAGGACTCGGAACCACCGCAAGGCATCAGGGTGAGCAGGGAGGAAAAGCATGTGTGCGCGCACACACAGAAACATCCCATCTCCCACACAATCACACACCAACAATCACACACACAGCGCAGGCCTGCCCTGCTATCCCATCAGAAGCGAGGAAAATTAGCAAAAACGCAAAACCTAGCTGTTCGGCAATCTAGCCATTTCCAACCTCAGACTGGAGATGCTTTTTCAACCCACACTCCCACTAGATTAAAATAATAGACTATCAACTCGATAATCTCACCCAGGACACCACCCCATCAGTGGTTAGGACAGAGCTGGACTCCTCCACCCTTCGGGAGGGCTGGTGGGGTAGTTAAAGGCTGAACCTCAGGACCAGCTCTGGCCTCTATCCCTTCCCTAGATCAAAATGAACCTGCAAGGTTCATCAAGGAGGAGGCAAGTAGGCCCTGCAGGGAGAGAAGCCTTGTCAGAGGGATCCCTCACCCTACCCCCCACCCACACTCCCAGTGCGGCCCCTCTGGGGCCACGCACCCACCTGGCGGTAGCGGCGTTCCGAGCACACCTTGCAGAGCCCATTGAACCGGTTCATGGCTGCGGGTCCCGACTCGGTCGCTGCCCCATGAAAACCCAGCTCTACCCCCCAGCTGCGGGAGCCCGCTCTGCGCCCTGTCAGCCTGGCATGACCGCCCTGGGAAGCCCGCCCCGCAGAAGAATGGCAGGAAGTCACCTCTCACCTCCCCAAGCCCTGTCTGTGCTGTGTGCCTCTGCACGATAAGCCCGAAGGCTTCCTGAAACCTCCGAATGACAAGGAAGAGGGAGAGTTTTATATTAAAATTCCTGTCAACTAGTTAGTATTCCCCTGGCCTGGCGGGGAGAGGGCGCCTTTGTTCTGGCTGCATTCTCCGCCAGGGGCCACTTTGTGATTCCAATGTTCTCACAAACACCCCAGGCTGGAGGGGAACCCAGGCAGAAAACACAGCCCACTCTAACAGCCCCACCTCCCCCTGCAAGCCCATGGACCCCTGGGAGCAAATCCAGGGGATAACTCAGCCCAAAGAATCCAAAGACACCTTGGGGGGACTGCACCCACAGACAGCCCATCCCAAGACAGAAACACCACACATTTGGAGTCTGACGACCTGCCTGCCACTCACAAGCGCTGTGAAACTTGGTTTCTCATCCATGTAAGGATGTGATGATAGGTAGACCATAAAGCTAAAGTGGAAAAGGACTTCTCATCTTCAGATAATCCAGCTTCTTTATTTTACCCACGAAGAAGCTGGGGACCAGAGAGGTTTAGGTCACACCTCGGGGTAGCAGTGGAGTCAGACCCAAACTCTAGCCTTGTTCGCTGCCTTGTATAGCAGTACTTGGTGAGCCTGGCCCAGCTCACACACACCTCAGAGTCTCTGGGGAAACCAGCCACCCACAGATGTCCTTGGTGCCAGAGAGTGTCCCTTGGTACAGCTCAACTTTGGTTGCCATGAGAATGGCAAGGTCACCCAGGTTTCTGGGCCTCTAGCATCCCAGCCACACAATGGGGGAGTTGAACAGGTGACCTCTGGGGGCTCTCCCTGTGACCCAACCAAGCCTCTGACCATCAGTCCCATTTTAGACAGTCCCAAGGACATCTCTGAGAATACAAGCCCAGGAAAATCAATGCACCTCAGAAGAATGTCCCCATGGGCTCAGGCAGGCACTGTGGGACAAAATCCAGCATGGAGCAGGACTCCCTAGCCACTGAGAACCCCATGTGTTAATGTCCACATAATTCCCATAGGTCACCAGTGAGGCTCTCAGACACTGTCCTCTTGGTGCTCACTAAGTCCAGACAAAAGGAAGAAGAAATCTGCAGCTCCCTCCTGAAGCCACAAGAATATTTGAAATGCCTAATGAAACCACTCTAGGACTGTGCTATCCAATACACCAGCAACTAGACACGTGTCAAGGTAAATGTAAGTGAATCAAAATTACATAAAATTGGAAATCCAGGTCCTCGGTCATACTAGCTATGTTTCAAGAGCTCAGCAGCCACCGTGGCAAGCTGCTACCATAATGGACAGTGCAGCCCTCGACTGTGAGCTCATGAGGGCAGAGATGCTGACTTTCTCTGGGCTATATCCTGGTGCCCAGCACAGGCACGGTCGTGGAGATGCTCAAGCAAAATGAGTGAGGCAGTGAAAGAACTGAATAAATGAAAGGGAAATTTTTGTAGAGTATAACACTCCTACATGTAAGATTTCACCATGAGGAGTACCAATATCATCTCTTCCCAAGTAGGCCAGATGCAGGAAGCAGCATGGCCCAGGGCACTCCACAGGCGGCCAGACCTTGCTTCAGAACCTGCCTTGCTTCAGAAGCGCACACCTGCTGGCTGTGTGGCTGTGGAGAGTAACCTCACATCTCTGAAGTCTGCGCATCTCTTTCCTCTGTGAGACGGGGAAGGAACCACCTCAGAGGTGAGGACAGTATGGGGGCACAGTGGCACCTGGCAGAGGGCCACCCAACCACTGCAACTTTTTTCCTCCCTCTCTTCATTGTAGGAGGGTCACCAGCCATGTCTTAAGAGGCAGAAATTGGGAGAAGGTTCCAAAATCGCCACGTGAAGTTTTCCTATGGATTCAACACCCTAGGGGAGTGAGAAGCCACTGGTCTTGGGCTTGGATTCCCAGGTGCTCCCTCACATCAAGTGGGCCTAACCTGAGAGGGTGACCTCATCACAGAGCCAGAGGTAGCAATGGGGCAGGATGGGGGCACAGAAAAGAAAGAATTCAGATTCCAATGACCACAAGTCAATAAGAACCTGAGTTGTCCTTTTCCAGGTATGGGGACTCTGCTCTCTCTCATCCCTGCCCCAAGCAAAGCTCAAAAGGTAGCCCCTTAAGTGTTCATGCTTGTGGAGTGGCCAGGAGCTGGTAAGAGAGGAAACAGCACTTGGGCCCATCAACCCTGCCCAGCTGCCACTACCTACCTTGAGTTTCTGCCCATTTTCAGTGTCCTCACCTCCTGGCATTCTCAGAAGTGGGTCTGGAAGATGACAGAGCAGTCAGAACATTTCTGTGGCAGATAAGACACCATCCCACAGATCCCTCCAGAGGACTAGTATGGGCTGACAGGCCCACACAGCTGCCCAGGTCACTCCCGGCCTCTAGGGGATGCCCAAAGCTCAGGTCAGGCAGGGGACCTGCAGCAGGAAGGATGGGACAGAAAGGACACAAAATCCAAGCCCTGAGCCTCAGGTCTCATGGCAGAGCCCACCCCCCTAGCCATAAGCTGGCCGTTCCAAGTCACCAACACAGCCTAACAGGGATCATGAGACCACTGACTGTGGGAAGGGGCCGTGCAAGGAGCTCCTGAAGTCCAGTCCTCCATGAGCTAGGGCTGGAAACCTTGTGGTGTCAGGCTCTTAGCCTCTCCAAGGAATGTCCAACCAGATAAACAGAGGTGCCGTGGGCCCTAGGCTACCTACAGCCTGCATTCTAGCGGGACCAGTGATATAATCAAAACCTGGGGTGACAGGGCCACAAAACACAGGGACTGATGCTACTGCCCAGGAAGGGAGGAGGGCAAAGCAATAGGGTCAGAGCAGCACATCTGCCAGAAGCTGAAGGTGGTGTGCTCGAACCTCTCAGGGGCCGCAGTCGCCTCCTGGCCACCTTTAAGTGTTTCGTCCGGCCCAGGTCTTCCCCCAGGAGGTAGTACCAGCCGCTGATCTCCTGTCATGAGAGAAAACATCACAAGCTCAGACAGAAGAGTCAGCCTCCAGCCCCCCTCAAAAAGCAGTAGCTGCACAGCCTCCCTCAGGAGCAGCATCTCTACAGAGAGACACTCTAGTCTCTCTGCCCAGAGGGAGCTACTATGCTTAACCTCCAGGAAGCCTTCCCTGATGCTCCTAACAAAGCTGGTCCTCCCCTCTGCTGAGTCCCACAGCCTCTTAGCCTTGGAGAACAACTATCTCCTTGCATACCTGCCTCCTCCACTAGGCTGTGTGCAAGCTCTTTGTTGTGCCCAGCACTGTGCCTGGTCTATAAATGGAGCCCAATAAATGATCAGAAGGGAAGGCGTGATGGAGAGATGGAGAGGCTAGAAGGTAGAGAGCAGTCTGAGGCTCCTTGCAGCCCCATGGGAGACAGCTTCTCCTAAGAGGGAATGAAGCTGAGGCTGCAGTCAAGAGAATATATTGGGGACCCACACATGGGATAAAGGGCCCTCAGTCACCTACCCCAGACTTTACTTCCGGGCCCCCCACCAATTCCATGTGAGCAAGCCACCAGGACATCTCCAGGGATGTGCAAAACGAGCTCATCCCTCCTCTACTCAAAAGCCCCCAGATGGAAGTATGGTATGAAGTAGAAATGGATAAGGGACTGGTTACCCAGATGGAGAGGGTCTCTAGATCTAAATAGTCCTCACCCAGCCCGAAGGAAAGCTCCATAAAGAATGCTGCTTCTCGCTCACTCCCTGAGCACCTGCTAGACCCAGAAACACGAAACCTAGTACCCAGGCAAGATAGCACCCAGAGAAGACCACAAGACGCACCTCCCCTAGGACCCACCTTGTCCGGAGTCAGGAGGGACTTCACCCCGAAGCTCATGCAGCCGATGAGTCCACTCTGTCTGGGAGAACAACAGAGGCTTGAACCAGTACTGTTTCATCACACTACACGGGGAGATTGAGAATCAAGTGTAACCTGGGTTTGCCTGGTGCACTGTGGTTTGCAAGAACTTGGACCTGCATCTTCTCATTTGAGCTTTCCAGTTTTGTGAGTTGGGCTGGAAAGGAATTGTTCTCTCCATTACACAGAAGGAAAAAACCTAGCCTCAGAGTTATCTCCCTTCCCAAGGTCACAGGCTGCTGGCTGATCAAGTCCATGGAACCCAAGCATCCTAAGCCATGGCGCTGCTCCCTCCACCATCCCAGAAGCTTGGCCCTACCACCCAGGTTTTAATTGCCCCAGTGCTGAGTGGATCTGAAGAGCTGAGCCCCACAAGAAATTCTAGCTCCCACATCAGCTGGTGAAACCCAATTGAGAAGAAAAGTTATAAGACCTCAAGCCCAAGAAGTTTGGTCTCAGGTCCAGGCAAGACCCTGGCAGTTGTAAGACAGCTCCAGACCAAGGTCCAGACCAGCATGACTCACAGATTCACCAAGACTAGCCTGCACTGGCTGCCAGCTGAGCAAGAGGCATGAGGCTGCCGCACTATGGCAATGGGGCAAGTTAAGTCATTCCAAATCCTTGAAAACTCTTCTGTTGAGCCCCAGCTTGCAACCATCAGAGACTGCTTGATCTTGGCAACTTTGAATAATGATGGCATACAACAGACACATGAAAAGATATTCTAGATCACTTATCATTAGGGAAATACAAATCAAAACCATGAAGAGATTTCACCTCAGATTAGTTAGAATAACTGTTATGAAAAAGTCAAGAAACAACAAAAGCGGATGAGGAAGGATGTGGAGAAAAAGAAACCCTCATGTACTGTTGGTGGGAATGTAAATTAGTACAGCCACTCTGAGAAAAAGTTATGGAGGTACCTCAAAAAATTAAAAATGGAATGACCATATGATCCAGGAACCCCACTTCAGGGTTTTTACCCAAAGACTACAAAAACACTAATTTGAAAAGACATATGCACCTCTACATCTACTGCAGCGCTACAACACCCAAGATATGAAAATCCAAATGGCCAACAAGAGATGAGTGGATAAAGTTGTGGTAAGCATACACAAAGGAATAGTACTCAGCCATAAGAAAGATGAAAGTTGCCATTTGTGACAACATGAAGGGCATATTAAACTGAATGAAATAAGTCAAAGGAGAAAGATACATCCCAATGATTTTACTCATTTGTGTAATATGAAGGGTAAAAAAGCAATCAAACAAGCAAAACAAAAACCCTTGGACTCTGACAACATAATGGTGGTCACTAGAGCGGCAGGAGGAGGGAGGAATAAGTAGAGGAATATATACAGTGCTGAAATAAAAAACTGTCCCCCTGAAACCTAGTCAGTGTTGTAAACTAATATTACATCGATAGAAAAGATGAAAAAATAAAGATGGCATAGATTAATAGTAATGGAATGCAAAACATAATCTCACTATTGTGAGAGAAAAGGAAGCTGACAGATCTATAATTTAATGAGAAAGACACTCTTCAAAATATTAACAATGGCTGTTAATGAGAAAGACACCCACAAAAAAATTTAACAATGGTTCTATCTGGCAGGTGGGATTAAAGAGGTTTTGTTTACTTCTTTTCAATGTTTTCAGATTTTCACAAGGAACAAGCACTACCTTTTTAATGAGGGGGAAAACAGTGTAAATGTATTTTTAAGAACTTTTATCACACCTTTATCTATCCTAATGTTAAAGTTGGGTTTTTCTTAACCTGTTCTCCTCTTTCAGCACATCCCCAACTCAGATCCCTTCATAATTTGGTTTACTAGCTATTAACCAAGAAACAACACGGGTATTTAGACTGGAGCATAAATTTGATGTCTGACCTCACAAGCTGAGGAGCCCACATCCTTGAGGAATTCAGCATGTTCTGTGGGAGACCCAATATTAAAGCTAAAAATGGTAAGACCTCCCTGGATGGGTAATGAGCTCCCTGGAGACATGCCTCTCAGAAACCCAGCCTGACGGGCCAGAGTGAGAACAGGAGTCTAGCCAGGGCACCCCACAGAACCCCCCACAGAGCCTGTCCCAGTCCCCTGCTCTAGCACCTGCCTCAGGGATCCAGACCCCCGAGTGTATCAGGAGAGAGCTGTCCTGGAATCCCACAGGGTATCTATCTGTGTCTGCCCGAGGCAACGACGTGTTCTGGAAGGTCTCCATAAGTTCAGATCTAAGTTCTCCGAGAGTCCTCAGTCAAATCAAACTGGCTTCTTGCAGGCCATCAAGCCAAGTGAGGGGTGCGCACACAGAGCTCAGGGGAACGATGCTCAACACCAGTATGCCTGTCCTGCCTTCCCCACTCTATGCATGGCCATTTCTCAGGAGCTACTTTCACTCCACTACTGATCCCCTGCTCTCTCTCCCGGCTCCCACTTCCTCCAGCTTGGGCTCTGCCTCCTTCCATCATATCAAGTCATATTAATAATCTACCCAAAGAGGACAGTGCAGTTGCCACAGTAAAGCAACTCTTTCACATCCACCACCACCCTCTCCCGCCGCCCACCATCAAAAACAAGCCTCCCTTCCAGAAGTGGCCGAGTCAGCATTAATGAGGGCAGCTGCAG